TCACATTAATTAGTTACTATACTTTATCATCACAAGAAGAAAGTTTGCTCCAGGAATTCATTCATTTCACCAGTACTTCAGCACTTACTCTGTGCATGAGCAAAAAGCTGGTGCTCTTCCTGCCCACGTGGAGCTCAGCTCAAGTAAGAGAAACAGACAGTAATCAAAACTGCATAACTATAAAATCTTACTACGTGAAATGCCACAGGGAGAGATCCTTGGGACTATGATAGCATAAAATATGGTCAAGCATGGTCAAGAGGACACAGGTTTCCCTGGGACATCATGACTGAGTAGACAGCAGAGGTACACACCCAGGTGGCAGGGGAAGGAAGTTCTCAGAGGCAGAGGAACACTTGTGTAAAGTGCTTGGGTTAGAAGGCTGAGGAACAGAGCATGAGGGTGGCCAGGAGGGAGGTCTGTCTGGAAGAGCTCACAGGGTTTGAAAGTCACAAGAAGACTCCTCTTCCTTTTGTCCCCCATCCAAACAAGTTCCTCACACCTAGTAAGCATGCTACTTTCCTTCCTGGTGATTTGTCCTCCACCCCCCACCCCAATTCTAAATGGATGAGACTCCATTAATGTCCTAGCTTGTTAAAATACTGTATACAGAGAGCCACCTCTAAAACAGGATCAGACATTTTTAAAGTAATGCTCTGGTTCTCTCTCCAGAACAGGAACCTTTAGGAGATGGAAATTGGGTTAGTTTACTGCTTGGAAATAAGAAAGGAAATCTGAGTAAACCAAAAGAAAAATTGTAGGCCCTTCATAAAACCACATTCTGACAACTCTCCTTTTCCATTTTAAAATTGTGCTGTTTGCATTTTCTGACTGTGAAAACAGAGAAGGATGAGTTGTCTTTGTGATCTCTATAAAGAGACTTGTCAAATAGTGCGTGCGAGCATGGGGGATTGCATTTCCTCGTACTGATTTGCATTTAGTGGAATTGTAATTTGTAAACTGTAGCTGAGCATTTTCGTTAATTCCAGAGTGAAAGGTGCACTGGATTGCCATCATGAGTCAAAAGGCCCACCCCTGAGCCTGAACTCATAGGAGCCGATGTAGGGTTTCTTATTCCTGTGGTTTACAGAGGTTAAATTGGTCACTTACTTCTCTTTTGTCATGGAAATTAGACTCATTACCTTGCAAATCTTTAAATAAACCTGAGCTTCTGTATGCCATTGTCATTACTGTCTGTGCTGAATGCTTTGGATTAGAGGTTTCACTCTGGCTGCATCAGGGATATGGACCAAGGACAAAGTGACAGTGCTTTTTGGTCTGTGGCTGAATTTTTGCTACATAAACATCTTATTTTCATTTTGCAAGGGTTAAGGAGCAGAAAACACTGATCTTAGTCTTAAATGGGTGTACCCCAAGAACAGTAGGCCCTCAGCAGTATAATCTTAGGTATATTTTTAAATGTTTCTAATTTTATTTGAAAAACTTTTTTGCAACCCAGAAATAATTATCCCCCATCCTGAGTTTCTTTGCCTGTCTGTCCCACTTAAAAAATTGAAGACTTATGAGCAATTAGTCCATTTCTTCCTGTTTTTTCAATCCTTGGAATTCACCATCCCTCCCTAAGACTAAACTAAACCAAGTACAACAGATGAAACTTATTCATGCTTCTAAGTAAACTTTTACATAAGGACTATCCTGTCCTAGTGCCCCAGTCTGCCCCCAGAAAGTACAGGTGACCTGATTAGGAGTAAAGATGGGAGTCAGTGGGTTAGGAATTTGTGGATGAGAGAATTCCTGCCTGTGATGGCAGTGTTACACATTTGTGTAGGACGGAAAGCCTCCACTCAACCTGCTGGCTTAGATGTGTAGCCAGAGGGAGGGCTGGTGCTCTGGAGCTTCCTGGACAATGAAAGGTGAACATAGAGGCAGGAAAGTTTATTAAGGGAAAAAAATGAAAGCTTCCATGGGAAGGGAGGGGTCCTGAGTGGGTTGCCAGAGAAATGACGTGGTCTGAGGTTTTTATCCATTTTCTCCAGGGCATTGGTCAATCTCTGTGCTAATTAGGTGTGCAGAAAGCAGCATTCTGGTTGGCTGTGCCTGCAGCTTTCTGATTGGTTGTGTCCTAGTCCTCACACTATCCTTATTCTGGTCTGTACTGCTTTTCCTTCTTTCTACTCTTTAAGGGAGAAAATAATGGTGGTTTCTAGAGGCACTTCTGTCTCAGCAAGGACTTGGTTCTTGGATGGCATTACTGCCCCTCTGACTGTTGTCCCCTCAACTTGGCTATAAGCACCCTGAGGGAAGGTGTTCACTGGCAGAGCCATGAGCAGTATATGGGGTGAAGTGTGCAGAGTCCCACGAAGTCCTCTTGCCTTGTACCCCAACCTTGTGCATCCCAGTGCTCCTGGAACTCTGTCCTGGGAGCCCACATAGGCATGAGGAGAGCAGCTGGCCCGTGTGCTGGGCACCTCACACATCACTATTTCATCTTCACCATGACCTTGTGAAGCAGCCACTGTTATTACCCTCAGTGTTTGCAGAAGAATTGGAAGCTTAGGAAAGTTAAGAAATTTCCCCAGGGGCCACAGCTGGAAAATGGCAGAGCTGGGAGGGGAGTTCGATTTTCCACAGCCTGTACCTTTAGCTTCTCTTCAATGCTTTAGGTAAATTTTCTGTGAATTTAGTGCAGATACTTTTGTGTTTTGAACTCAAGGCCTCACACTTACTGGCCAGGTGCTCTACTGCTTGAGCCACTCTGCCAGCCCAACACTGATACTTTTGGCCCCAACTGGTTCCCCAAATCAAATAATCTTTTTGACCCTCACTTTCCATATCATTAAAATGAGAGGGGTAGACCAGGTCATCAAAACATAGTGTTTACAAATAAGTGTTCATTGAGCATCTGCTACGTGCTGATTGAGACACGGCTTGGGTTTAGTTGTTAATGCAGTAAACATTGATAGATACAACCCACCAAAAAAACAAAAGTTCTTTGGGGTCCTCCATAATTTTAAAAATATAAAGGGGTCCTGAGATTAAAAAGGGGCAATCCTCCCAGTGCCTACAGAACTCTGTCGTTGGTATGAGAACACAACAGCCCCATGAATTTTCAAACATGAACCATGGCTCCTGTGAAGCCTACCTTGTTATATTTACCCTGACTCCACTGTGAGAGATTGGGTGAGCATGCTATGGGGTGCACCTGTGTGTGTGTGTGTGTGTGTGTGTGTGTGTGTGTGACAGACTATCCACTGGGACAATATCTTTTTTTTTTCTAATTTCTTGACTGGACAACTTGGCACATAATTAGTGTTCCATAAATGTTTTCAAATTGTGTTAACTGACATTTAGTGTGTCCCTGAGGGTGCCAGCAAGATTTGTGATTCCATTTGAAAAGATGTCCTTTCAAACAGTTGAAGTTTAAGCTGATTTTAATTGATTTCCTGCTCTAAAAAGGTGAGCCTGCCCATAGAGAACCCGAGGGGGGATCCTGAGGGTGTGTAGGCCTCAAGCCCTGGGGACACCAGGTCTCAGGTTCCTCTGGCTGACTCTGGGGTCAGCATGCCCTGGAGTTGTGTCCCAATGGCCCTAGGAATCACACAGCCTGGAAATTATCTGGGTTGCACCCTTACAAAGCTGTGCTGGTCTGTTTCCCTCAGCCTCTGCACCACATTCTGGAAAATGGGTACCTCAGTTAGACTAGTTGTAGCTTCATGGTGGGTGAAACCAAAAGCCACTAGCTCAGTCTTGTTGGGATTTTCCCAAGTTTGGGGCAATGCCACATTTCCTCAGCAATCTACTGCCTATACAGAAGATTGCCGTTTGAAAGAAGTGTGAGCGTGGTCAGTCACGTACCCTGTCTCTCCTCACATATGCATAGAGCACTGTGCCGAGCAAGCCCCATTCTAGGCACTTCTCAGTCCAGCCCACACCTTCTCAGAGGCTAGGCGCCAATGGCTGATATGCACAGCACAGCTCAGTGGCTCTAGTGCCAATAAAAAAGCAGCTGACTTGGGGAAAGCCTTCCGTCTGAGCTGGCCAAGGCTGAGGTGTAAGAAATCCTCACGGCCACCTGATGAGGCTGGTATTTTCATCTCATCCTCCACATAACAGAAGTATCAAAATGCCTGAGATGAGATTAAATGATACAGTAATTATAAAAGGCTCGACACAAATTGACATTTATCATCACGCACAAGCACTTCATAAGTTGCAAAGCACAACAGTGCTCCTATTGTGATGAAGCTGGCCTTTGGCTCTAAGGCAAACCAAGTCCCAAGTTACTGTTTGGGTCAGGGACACATCAATGACATCATAGTCTTGGCACGCTCCAGTTTTGAAAGGACTTTGTACTCTAGAATCTTTCAGTTCAATGTGATCCTGGACCTGGGAGTTTGTCAGAAATGAAAACTGCCACTCCTACCCCAGACCTCCTGAATCAGGATTTGCATCTTGGCAAGATCTGCAAGTGATCACTGTCCACACTCAAGTTCTAGAAGCATTGATGTACACCTAGAAAGATGGCAATGAGAGCATTGGGCGCGGGGTGGGAAGGGTTAATGTTTAATTTGGCTCTGGTCAAGGCACCGGAAACAGAAGGTTGCAGAGATTAAAGCACGTGAAGTGATGGGACAGGAAGGCTCCTTTCCTGCCTGAGTCCTGGCCAGCCAGGGGCTCTGGCCAGAGACCTGCTCTGAGCCCCCTGGGCCTGTAAAACCAAGAGCAGGCTGGGACAAAGAGAGGCCTAGGGGCCCCTGCTCAGGGCAGCCTGGACTCGGAGTTGCCAGGTGAACCCAGGGAGGTCCAGCCCTCAGGCCAAGGCCTTCTGAGGTCTGAGGCAAAGAGTAGAGGCTGGAGGGATACCACAGGGCTATGGGCTATGGGCAGAGCCCTCCCAAGGGAGGCTGGAGGCCAGTCCTGGGACAGCTGTGTGAGGGCCTCTGAATCTCCCTGGTGCACCAGGATGCCCTGGTCTTCAGTAGTTGGGGAGGGCAAGCCCTGGCCTCAGAGCTTGACCATGCCTTGGTCTTCCTCCACAGTGCTGGAGCAGCTGCTTCCAGAACTCACCGGGCTGCTCAGCCTCCTGGACCATGAGTACCTCAGTGACAGCACCCTGGAGAAGAAGATGGCTGTGGCCTCCATCCTCCAGAGCCTGCAGCCCCTCCCAGGTCAGCCTGGTGAAGCCCCGCTTACACAAACAGCAATGCCTCTCTTGACCCTCCTCAAGAACCTTCACTAACTCCCCAGGCCTGTGCAGAGGGACATCTAAGCCTTGTAGCATGGCAGGTACTCGGCATGCATGCTTTGGCCCAATGTCCTCTTCTACTTAGGCCCTGCCCCTCCTCTACAGTCCTGGCCATGCTCTTTGTCCTCCTCCATCCCCAGCCTCTACAAACTCACACACACTACACACACTCATATACCCATTGCACATGACACACAAGCCACAACATGCTCTCACAACATACAGTGCACTAACATATACCATACATATGTACACCACATCAAACACACATGCTCTGACCTACATTACACGCTCCCACACATACACTCCTGCACACCCTCTGACACACGCCCATCCTCAGGCGCTGTGTGCCTCCCACATCTTTGCTTATGCCCCATCTAGCACAAGTTTCCAGATCCTGCTGGCCTCAGGGAGTCTGAGAGATGTGGTAGAAGTCGCCATTGGGTGACTGAGCCTCACTTCCCCAAAATAGAGTTGATGTCACCTGCTGCCCTCATGGGACCATTAGGAGGATGAAGTGGGCAATGGTTCTCCCCCTTGTTAGAGAACGAGGCCCATGACTGTCCCCAAAGCAGTACTATAGCACTAAGCTTCTGAGCATCCTTTCACTTCTAGACAAAGATCTCAGTCACAGTGTAAAGATTAAAACAAAAGAGACTAAGTGTGACGGTATACACCTGTAATCCCAGCTACTTAAAAGACCAAGGCAGGAGGATTTCAGAGTTCAAGGCCAGCCTGGGCTACATAGTGAGACTCTGCCTCAAAATAAAAAATAAAAATAGGCTAGGGACAAAGCTCAGTGATAGAGTGTACATGCACAAAACCCTGGGTTCAATCCCCAGTACCCCAAGAAAGAAAGGAAGGAAGGAAGCAAGGAAGGAAGGAAGGAAGAACAGGGTGAAAAGAAGTGAAATAAGAGGATGTGAACATGTTCTCCCAACTGAGCACTGTGCCCACGTGGGACAGAAGTCTGAGGGGTGAGAAGACCTGGTTCCTTCCTTCCTCACTGCCAGTGTGTCCTCCTCCTCCCTCAGCGAAGGAAGTCTCCTGCCTGTATGTGAACACTGCAGACCTGCACTCAGGGCCCAGCTTCGTGGAGTCCCTCTTTGAAGAATTTGGTAAGCACCCTCTCCCAACCCCAGCGGTGAAGCAGTCTCTCTCCCTCGAGTGCACAGAAGGGTCCCGAATTGAGTGGGCCTGGCTGTAACATTGCATCATTGGGTCACCTTGGCTTCTCTGAGCTCTGCCACCTCTGAAAGAGTAATCAAAATCTGTCACTGTGGGAAATCATCCCCAAGATTTGAGGAACAGCAGGGGCAAATGTACAAGCCAAAAAAGGGCACATGGAGGGATTCTCTTACCTGCCACTGCTGTCCACTGGTCATGCCACCAGGGACCCTGGTCTGAGCTGTCCAGCAGCTCAGCAGAAAATGAGAACTGTGACAGAGGAGCAGGGGCTGCCTGGCCTGGGAGTAACCAGACGGGAGTGTAGGAAGGTGTTTGCCATCTGGCTCCATCCTGGAGAGAAAGCTGTAGTCTGGGAGAGTTTTCAGGACTGATAGACTGTCACAAAATCCTGGAAGATTTCCAGAGCACCACAGCAAAGACTGTCTGATTTCATCCTCTCCATAACCCTGGAAGCCAGGTGAGGCAGGGATTGTGACCAGCTTCCAGAGACAGAGTCCCAGGGTGGTTGATGAAGCCACTTGCTCAGGTTACTAATGGAGGAAGTGGTAGAGACCAATTTAAAATGCAAGGCTCCCAGCTGTCTTCCACCTCTGCCCTGCTCATCCTTGGCTTTCTCTGCCCAATGTCCTGACCCTCTAGACTGTGACCTGAGTGACCTTCAGGACTTGCCAGAAGATGATGGGGAGCCCAGTAAAGGAACCAGCCCTGAGCCAGTCAAGTGCCCATCTCCAGTGAAGGTGAGGGAGGCTCTCTCCATAACCCTCTCTCCCAGGTGGTGGTAAAAGTGCCATCAGGTGAGCATCTCAGTGACCTATGACCTGTTTATTATGTTCTGCTAAGCAGGGAGAATGTGGTGAACTGATCTGTGCCCTTGGGCCCAAAGGACATCACCACCACAACCTCAGGTTCCATGTACAAGTGACAGGAAAAGCTCTGGGCCAGGGATGGGTCACTTCTGCCATCCCCACTGCTTTGCTGTGTGGCCTTGAACAAATCCTTTCTCAAAAGCCTGAGTTTTTCACCTACAAAATGAAGGATTGGATCAGATCTAGGTTTCCCAAACGTGGGGCCAAAGAATTAGAGAGAAGTGTTTGTCTGTCAACATGGAATTATCATCACCACCATCGGTGAAATCAATTGTTGACAACTTGCTATGTCCTTTTTACGTGCTGACAGCACCTGAATAAGCTTGGCACAATTGCTATCCCCATTTTACAGATAAGAACACTGAGGCTCAGAGAAGGTAAGTGATATACCCAATGTCCCACAAGTAGTAAGTGACAGCACTTAGTTATAAAGCTGGGGTTCCCCTGACCCCAATCCTCAGCTCTGCACCACTGGGTGATTCCACTTCACTAAATAACTCACTTCATGCTTAGTTGTTCAACTGCTCTTGTACATGTCGATGTGGTGGCAGACACTGCAGAACTCATGATAGTGTTTGAGACCTGTGTGTGGGCCCAAGCACGACTGCCACATTTGGCAGTCCACGAAACGTTTAGACATTGCTACAGAAGAGCTGTGGTGTGTGCACGATTTGTGTAAGGAGCACAGGATAAAGATGCTGTCAAGTTCTGCCAACTCTGTGACTCATTAAAAGTTACGACTTCACATTCAGACTGCCACCTGCCTCCTGAGAGCTCCCACCCCTCCTCTGCCCTCCTCCCTCTTGGCCACTTGCTCCCCTCTGCTCTGCTTCCCACCTTCTTTCTTACAGGCCTTCTTTGTCACCCTACAGACAGCCGACCTGCCTCCACCACTGCCCAACAAGCCTCCACCTGAGGACTACTACGAGGAGGCCCTTCCTCTAGGACCTGGCAAGTCCCCTGAGTATATCAGCTCCCACAGTAAGTTTTGATCCTCTAGAAGATTACAGGCATCTCCTCCCTAAGGCCTGCAGGAGTGGGAACACCCAGCCGAGCCTGACCAGCACTGTCTCCCTGTTCCTAGAAAGGGGCTTCCCTGACTTCTTCTGTGCCCAGGAATTTGGATTCTAGTCTAAGATCTTGGGCAACCCATTCCTCTCTCTGGACCTCTGTTCCTCTACCTTTAAAACAAGAAAGAGAAGCTGGGCACAATGGCTGAAGCCTATAATCCTAGCTACTTGGGAGGCAGAGATCACAATTGGGCAAAAATTTCACAAGACCCCATCTCAACCAATGGCTGGGTGTGGTGGCGCACTGTCATCCCAGCTACACAAACAAGAAGGAGAAGGAGGAAAGAAAAGGAGAGGAGAGAGGGAAGGAGGTGGGGGGGGAGGAGGGAGGGAGGAAGGAAGGGAGGAAGGGAGGGAGGGAAGGAGGAAGGGAGGGAGGGAGGAAGGAAGGAAGAACGAGAAAGAAGCTGCATATACTCACATATGTGTACAAGGATGCAGACAGCAGTTACCTGGTTCCAAGCACTAAAACCCAACAGCAGATGGTTAAAACTGCTGCCTCTCTAGCAGATGCTGAAATGACTTGTGTCCCAGCAAAATCACACCATGTGGGTAGATGGGTTATCAAGTCAGCACATAGGATATAGTAAGTGACCTAAGCCAAGGTCTCCAGAGTTTCTTGGGCCCACTCAGCAAAGTCATAAGCTAGGGTAGGCAGAAATATTAGGGGCTTCATTTATGTTTATTTCAACACACCTTTTTAAAAATTCTACATGAAGTTGTGGCCATTGGTTCATGCCTGCAATCCTAGCTACTTGGGAGGCTGAGATCAGGAGGATTGTGGTTGGAGGCCAGCCAGGAGAAAAAGCTTGCAAGGCCCATCTCAACCAATAGCTGGGCACAGTGGCATGCTCCTGTCATTCCAGCTATGCAGGAAGCATAAAATAGGAGGCTTGCAGTCCAGGCCAGCCTAGGCAAAAAGCAAGACGCTATCTTCAAAATAATCAGAGCAAAAAGGGCTGAATATGTCCTACCAGCCTATACACACATGTGTGTGTGTATATACATATATATGATAGATAGACACATATATATGTATATATGATCGATGTGAATGCAATGTGTGATTTGAGAAATACGCTTCTCTCTGTCTCTCTCTCTTTTTTTTTTTGGCAGTACTGGGGTTTGAACTCAGGGCCTCACACTTGCTAGGAGCCAGTCTTTTTTGTGTTGGATAGGGTCTTATGAAATAATTGGCCAGGCTGGCTTTGAACCCTAATCCTCCTGATCTCTGCCTCCTGAATAGCTAGGATTACAGGCATGAGCCACTGCACCAGCTAGAAATACTCTTCTTATTTAAGCTAGGTGAGATGGCATACCCTGTAGCCTCGGCTACCTCGGGAAGCTAAGGTGGGAGGATTACTGAACCCAGGAGTTTGGGCAACACTGTAAGACGCCATCTCAAAGAAAGGAAGGAAGAAAGAATGCCAGGCGAGTAGGAGCATAGCCGTCATCTGCACTCTTCCGCTGCCTATACCTTTTCACCATGGGCAAACTTTTTTATTGTGGTAAAATACAAGTAAGATTGACCACTTTCACTATTTTAAAATGCCCAGTGGGTGGCATTTCCTACATTTAGTGTTACCCAGCCATCACTACTATCTAGTTTCCAACATTTTCATCATCCCCCAAAGAAACTGTACCATGAAGCAGTCCCTCCCCAGCTCTCATGCAGCAACTGTCAACCATCAATTTACTTTGTCAATACGGCTTTGCTGTTCTGGACATTTCATATAAATGGAGTCATATAATATCTGACTTTTTATATCTGGCCTCTTCCACTTAGCTTATTGTGTTCAGTGTTCATCCTTGTTGGAGCATGTATCAAAACTGCATTCCTTTTTAGGGCTCAGTAATGGTCCGTTCTATGGCTATGCCACATTGCATTGATGAATGAATAGTTGGGCTGTTTCCATCTTTTGGCTGTGGTGAGGTTGGACTAGTTGATCTGTGGCCCTCTTCAGCCTTGATAGTCTCAATCCCTGAGTCACTGCAAGCAGCCAATTTTTCCAATATCATCCATTCAAGGATAGGGGAGGAAGGACTGGGCAAGGTACTGCCGAATCCCAAATCCCAGGTCAAGCCCCTTGGCTACACGAGGCTCTTCCACCTTCCAGAGCACACACTTCCCCCTCAGACAGGGCAGGGAAGCCCCTCCTGGGAGCAGCTGGGATCCTGGGGCAGGAGGGAAGGGAGGGCCTCAGGAAGGGCCTGGGACCTTGTCCAGGAGAAAGCGCCAAGCCAGTCAGGGAGTATCTTTTTGTTCACACACAGCATCCAGCCCCACCAGGAGTTAGAGCACTTTGTCCCAGTGTTCCCTCTCTGATCCCCACTATACCCCCCCTCCACCACTCCTGTGGCTCTGACACCCCTAGTCCCCCTCACAGCGGGTGTGGCCAGCCTCGGAGTCCCCAAAGTGCCTGCTGGGAAAGGCAGACTCTGAGCCTCACTCGGGAGTAGAACCAGGTATCCCAGTGGCTGGAAACTTCAGCACTGCTGTCCTCAGGAAACAGATGGACAGGAGAGGCCTAGAGCCCAGAGCAGGGCTCTAAAAACAGTATGGCGTGACTGTAAGCTGCCCTGGATGAAGAAAGACCTCCCACAATAGGGAATGAGCACCCATCCTCTGCCCTGGCAACCTCAGTTCTCATCCAGGCTCTGTCTGGAAACTCAGCAAACTGTGTGTAGCTTATTTCCTTGTCTACAAGATGGAGCTGAACCTCCCTCCCTGCATTGTGAGGATCAAAGCAGACAATAATCATAGCGGTAGCTGGCATTTGTCTAGCACGTTCTGTGTGCCAGGCACTGTGCCATGTTTACACGCATTGTATCTCTAATCCAAGATGGGAACTGTTCGCTGAACAGATGAAGAATCTGAAATGCAGGGAAACGGTTCTCTCCAAGTGTGCTCGGTAGACGGTCGAGACAGGATTTGAACCCGACTCAGATCAAGCCCATATGACATGCCCTTTTACCAACTGAATTCCACATCTGCTGCAGGAACTGTCTGTATCAAAATAACTTCTGACTTTTTTGTGGGGATATTGAGGGTATTGGGGATTAAAGTAAGGACCTCAAGCTTGCTAGACAAGTGTTCCCCAATTTGAGCCACACCTCCAACCCTTTTGTTTTTAGTTTGTTTTCAGAAACAGACTTGCACTATCTTTGCTATGAACTCTCAATCCTCCTACCTCCACCCCCAGCGCAGCTGGATTACACGCACACACCATCATACCTGACCTTAACCTTATGGCTTTTTTTTTTTTTTTGGTAGTGCTAGGATTGAATTCAGGACCTCATGCTTCCTAAGTAGGCACTCTACCCAAATTTCTCCAAGTTTAGCAATTTCTGATCATTCCACAGATGGCTGCAGCCCAGCCCCCTCAATTGTGGATGGTTACTACGAGGATGCAGATGGCAGCTACCCCACCACCAGGATGAACGGCGAGCTGAAGAACTCCTGTAAGTACCCGGTGGCTGTTCATCAAAAGCCCATCCTCGGCAAGCACATGCCCACCACCCTCACCCTGACCATGGTCACCACCACAGAGGCCCCAAAGCTCTTGATTTGAGTGACCCCAGGGTTCAGCAGAAAGACCACAGGACTGGAGGAGTCAGGAGCTTGCCCTATTCTTGGTGACTGATCTTAGAGAAGCCCAACTTCCTTATCTGGCCTGGGGCTTTTCCGGGTAGTTGTGATGATCACCTGTGATAATGGCTACAAAGGTGATAGGGTTCTGACAGTAGTGGAAGTTTACTGAGCACCTGCTGTGTGTGAGTCACTGGGCTAAACATTCAAGTAGCAAGATGAAGTAGGAGCTGTTATTTGTTGTGACCTCTTACTAATGAGGACCCTGCCTAAAGCGAAGTCACCAAGTTACCAAATCACAAAACAAGTGGTAAATCTGAAACACAGTGACCCGAATAAGGGCCTCCAGCCAAACCATGTCCTGCCTCCCACTTTCCACAGTCTCAGTCTCAGAGCTTGCGGATGGTAAGAAGGGGCTTCCCCAGGGACTGCACAGTGACATTACTTTCTGTGGCACCTGCAGACAATGACTCTGACGCCATGAGCAGCTCCTATGAGTCCTACGATGAGGAAGAAGAGGAAGGGAAGGGGCCACAGCCCCGGCACCAGTGGCCCTCAGAGGAGGCCTCTATGCACCTGGTGCGGGACTGCAGGATATGCGCCTTCCTGCTGCGGAAAAAGCGCTTTGGGCAGTGGGCCAAGCAGCTGACCGTCATCAAGGAGGACCAGCTCCTGGTGAGTACCTCCTGTGCACTGCCTGTGCTCGTGTCCCTGTGTCCCTGCCCATGTATCACCTTGGCACCTGGCCCGGCCTGTGCACAGAAGCTCAGAGCTCAGCATTTTGAAGTCCCGGTTGTCCCCTACAGCAGAATTAAATACACATACACAAAAAGAAAAGCTTGAAGACTTGGTGGAGGATTACCTAGTTTATGGGGGTATTTTTGTCAGAAAAGAATTTATCGCTTTAAAACATTTGTTGGTTTTCATTATGCAAGTTAATGTGCTTATCTATAAAACTAAAGAAAAACAAAATGAAAAGTGGTTCAAATGGTAGTGCACCTGCCTAACAAGCACAAGAACCTGAGTTCAAACCCCAGTATAGGAGGCAGAGATAGGAAGAGATCTGAGGACAGCCCTGGCAAAAGCAAGAGACCCTATCTGAAAACAAACTAAAAACAAAAGGGCTCGGGAGTGGCTTAAATGGTAGAGCTCTTGCCTAGCCAGCTCTATACCCTGAGTTCATCCCCAGTACTACAAGAATAATAATAATAATAATAATAATATTTTTTAAAAATCCTCATGATCAAGAGATGACCATTATAGGACTGGAAACATGGCTCAAATGGTAGAGTACTTGCCTAGCAAGTATGAGGTCAAGGGCAAGGCCCTGAACTCAAACTCCAGTACCAGGGAGAGAGAGAGAACCACTGAAAAGTTTTCATGCAAATCTTTCCACCCTCTTTTCCATACATTTTGCAAAGCTGATCCCCTGCAACACTTGCTATTATATAATTTGCTTTTTTATAGGTTTTCTTTTAATTCACCATCTCTCATCCTTATCATTTCATAAAAGAAAATTCACTTTGAATTCCAAAGTAGGAAAATGAATAAATTTTAGAAAAAAATTATAGCTCTTCCTTAAAAAAAAAATCTTATTCAACCTACATGTGTTTGAAACCAGACCTTCTTTCACCCTGGGACAGAGAACACTCAGCACCAATCTCAGTGTCACTTTGGACCTGTTCCCACTCCTTATGCCTCCCTCATCTGTTGCTTGATTGATAGTAGTGGCCAAGACCTCCAACCCAGTGTAAATAGAGGGATGAGAGCAGGCAGCTGGTTTCTGTCCAGGTCTCAAAGGGGAAGCTTCAATAATTCACTGATAAATCTGATGTTTTCTGGGGGGTGTTGACAGATAGATGTTCCTTGTTATCACATGAAGGATGATCCCTCTCCTACATTCTTTTGGTGGGACTGGGGTTTGAACTCAGAGACTCACACTTGCTAGGCTGGCATTCTATCACTTGAGCCACTCCACCAGCCCTTTTTTGTGTTGGGATTCTCAAGATAGGGTCTCACCAAACTATTTTCCCAAACTGGCCTTGGAGTGCAATCCTCCTGATCTTTGCCTCCCAAGTAGCTAGGATTACAGAAGTAAGCCACTAGTGCCCAGCCCCTCTCCTGCATTCTTAATTTCCTAGGAGTTATATCACAAATGGGCTCTGAATTTTATAGAATACCTTTTTCTACCTCTGTTGAGGCATGTGATTTTTCTCCATTGTTCCTGTTAATGTAATGTGGTTGATTTTGGTTGTTGAACCACTCCACTTGGTCTTGATGTGTATACTTATTGTTTCTATCTGGATTGTGACTAGCAAACCTAGGGCTTTTGCAGCTATGATATGAGAGAAATTCGCCTACACTTTTTCTTTTATGTAATGTCATTATCACATTCTGGTATCGAAGTAACACTGGCCTCTTGACAAGAATGCAGAAGTGAGGACCATTATTGTAAAGTGCTGATTTCCCAAGGCCAGCTCACCACCCCTGCTAGAGGTCGCTCCAGAGTCCCACCACGCAGCCCCTTCCCCTGGCTTCCTCCCACGCCAGCCCGTTTGTTCTCTGGTTCTTTAGTCCCGAATGATCTTCCTGCTATTGTGCTATAATCTGCCTCTTCCTCATGGGTAGTTTGCCAGAAGATTCCCAAAGATACCCCTTTTCAGACTTCCCAGCCGTTCCAGACAGGGTCCATGACTGGGCTGAGTGGAGGGTTCCTCTGGGGTAGGTCCAGCTTCCCCAGAGCCTGCATGTGAAGGTGCTACCCTCCTCTACCTTCTACTCTCCTCCTGACCCCTTCTCTCCTTGTCCAGTGTTACAAAAGCTCCAAAGACCGGCAGCCACATCTGAGGTTGGGACTGGATGCCTGCAGCATCACCTATGTGCCCAAGGACAGCCGGCACAAGAGGCATGAGCTGCGCTTCTCCCAGGGGGCCACTGAGGTCTTGGTGCTGGCACTGCAAAGCCGGGAACAAGCTGAGGAGTGGCTGAAGGTACATGGGGCCTGCACCACTCCTGTCTTCCCCCAGCCTGCTTTCAGTGGCCTATGTCCTGTCCCTGGCAGAACCAAACCTTGCTCAGGTGTCCTGCCCATGGCTGGGGCTCAAGTGTCAAATGGGCCTGGATATCCACAAAAGAAAGATCCATGCTGGAGGCCCTTGCCCCTTCTAGTTATTTGAATCTTCTTTCTAACATCCATGCTGTGGGCATGTCCAGTCTTCACTTGTGTACCTCCTGGAATGGGGAGGTGATAGCTATGAAAGAAAGTGGTTTTATCATTAGATTTTTAAAAAAAAAAAGGAAAATCCTGTCTTGTTTTAGTGGAAATATGCATCTTTGTAACAACCTGTGGGCCAGCATCTGTGTCCTTGTGGGTACACAAAACACTCGGAGCTACCATGTATTAGCATGAGCTTTGGGCCACGCTGTTGTGCTGAGAGCTTTGCATACATGACCTCATTGACCCTTCTCAATGGAGCTATTAGTGTTTGCATGTAAAGATGAGGAAACTGAGGTACAGAGAATTTAGGTGACTTGGCAAAGGTCACACAACCAAATGATTGGGGACAGGATGGAAGCTAAGTACATACATCTACTTCAAAGGCTTAGGTATAATGACATAGCGATGACAATGGAAGACGCTAGTGTCACACGGACTTGGGTTCTAGTCCCAGGCCTAAGCAGCACTCTGGCTATGCGATCTTCTCCAGATGACTTCGCCTCTCTGTGCCTCAGTTTCCTCGTCTGTAAAATGGTTTTTATAAGGATTCTAGGGAGCACTTGACATGGTGCCTGCCACCTCTGGCCTGTGCACAGAAGCTCAGAGCCAGTGTTTCAGGGTCCCAGCTCACCCACTTCAGCAAAAGTTAAGCACACACAAAACCCAAAAGACCTGGTAGACAGACAGTGTTTTTTGTTTGTTTGTGGTTGCCAGAAAGGTTTTTTTTTTTTTAATCACTTTAGAACAAAGTTTGTTGCTTTTCATGATGAAAGTTAATGTGCTTATTATAAAACTAGTGGCCAATAACAGTCAGTGGTTTCTGTTAAGATGATGATGTCCCGCTCCCCAGATCCCCTCCCTCCAGTCCTTTCCACTGCCTCTACTCCACACTGACACTTTTCTCTCTCTCCTCTGATCTTCCTGCTGGAACAATGGAAGCAAGCCCCTCCCTCTCTCCTTCTCTTCCTCCCTTCCTTCCTGTGATAGCCAATAACCAGTTCCCCCATGGAAAGCTCAGTGTTTCTCAATACTGCTTTTGTCTCTGGAGGAGAAGGAAGGAGAGAACCTGCTCACTGGGGGAGCCTCTGAAGCAGGAGCCCTTGGCCACAGTTCAAAGACACCTGCTTGAACTTCCTTGGGACAGGAGCTCAGAGGCAGCCACACTGCTGTTTCTAGCTCTGCTGCTACCTGGCCCATGGGTTGGCCTCTCTGAGCCTCATCAGCCTCTTGTCAGATCTCACACTTGTGAGGTTTTATGGTTCGCATCCTTCATGTCCTCAATCTCACTATCCTCAGACCACCCCAGCTGATGGCCAGTATTCTCATATTACAGGTGTGGACACTGAGGCCCAGAGCAAGCAAGTGGCTTTTCCAAGACTGCATGACTAATTAGCATTGAAGCCAGGTCTAGACACCAACCCTCTTGGTTTCCAGCTCTGTATCTTTTCTGTCCAAAGGACAGACACAGGAAACAGCTTTGTCAGACACTGACATGCCCCACACTTGCGCAGGCCTTCCTTCCTCCCTGTGACCCCCAACCCTTCTGCACCAGAGCCCTGATTCTCCCACCCCATCACCCTTTTGCCCCCGGAGCTTCCCTATGTGCCTGTTCCCAGCTGTGCATCCTCTTCACAGGTCATCCGTGAGGTCAGCAAGCCCACTGGGGGAGCAGAGGGAGTGGAGTCCCCCAGGTCTCCAGTCTTCCTGTGCAAACTGGACCTGGACAAGGTATGTCTGCCTCCCCCAGTCTCCTCCCAGCCCAGCATTGGGCACTCAGCACTCCCACATGGGGCACCTCACAGGCTGACAATGATGCTAGGCCCCTGCTGTGGTGCCATCCAAGCTGTGCGTGCCCAGCAGAACAGGCAAAGCAGTAGGTGTTCAATAAATCTCTACTGCACTCATGTATGCACAAATAATGAGTGCCTGTGTCCAGAGTGCAGTGTGAGGCAGAAGGAGTGGCTTAACCTGCCAGGACAGAAAGAGGTCACATTTGAACTGTGCCATGAAAAGTCAGTTGAAATGTCCCCAATAGAAAAGGACGATGCCTGCTTGGAACATGAGTGAACTTAGTCAGGCCTGGAGTGAATATGAACCCGTGTCTACACTTGTTTTTCTTTTGGCAGTACTGGGGCTTGAACTCAGGCCTCACGCTTGCTAAGCAAGTGCTCTCCCAGTTGAGCCACTCTACCAGCTCTGTTTGCTTTTTCAGTTATTTTTTCAAATAGGGTCTCGCGGCCTGGACTTCCATCCTCCTACTATACTTCCTATGTAGCTGGGATGAGACTTATGCCACCATGCCCAGCTTTTTATTGGTTGAGTTGGGGGGTCTCATGATCTTCGCCCCACCCTTCTCCTCACTCCCTCTTCACTGGCTCAGTCTTCTTGAGTAAGTAGCTAGGATTACAGGAGTGAGCCACCTAGCCTGGCCCAGTGTCTACACTTTGTTGTAGATAACAAAGCAACTCACTCAGTACTAAACCTAAACCCCTTAAGGCTATAACAGTCCAGGGGAGGCTTGAGACTACATACATGGGTCTCACATGATATAGACTATGACTGTGTGCCCAACATTGTTCCAAATGTTTTGCACATATTAACTAATTTGCTTTCTGTAACAACTCTTAGAGTAGGTACATTTTCAGATGAGAAAACATAAGACACAGAGCTAGGGTTTAAGCCCAGACAATGTGGCTCTTGAGGGCACTGCTGTGACAGTGGAGCAGCCTAAGCACCCATTGGGCAAGTCCTTAATGAGGATCCCCACACGCAGGCACAGTGCAGTCCTGGTGAGCCATTTTAACAAAAACAGCCAAACAGCACGTACAGCCCAGTAGGCAAGCAGCGTAAGTCAATAACCACAGGGACATATAACTGCCTGGCCGGGTGCATGCTAGGTGGGGCCCTAGAGGGTGGGTTCCCTGGGAATGTGTATCAGGGGCCCTGCCCCTGTCTTAGAAGCTCAGGAAGGTTCTGGAGGAAGTGACTTTTCAGATGAAAACTTTCAAGAATGGGGAAGAGAATGATATTCCAAGTGGTGGGAGCAGGCACTGGCGCAGAAGGAAGTACGGAATTGAACGTGGCAGGTGTGGCTTGGCTCAGAGAGAAGGGAGTTCATCTACCTTTTAGAGTGGTCCTGGACAGAGATAGTGGGGGACGGGAGCTCACACTGGTTAGAAGGGCCAGGAGGGGTTAGGGGAGATAAGCGCTCATGTTGAGCCTTTAAATCATGGGTGAGATGTTACTGTGGCAGAGTGGACCAAGGGAGGAGCCAGCACAATCAAAGGTGTGGGATCAGGGGAGAGTGGGGGCATTGATTCTGGAGCCTGGTGGATGCTATTGGAGAAATCCATAATTTCTGTTGGGCCAGCTCTTTGGCACCTCACAGCAGCCTTCTCCAAGTGAGTATAATTCAGATGAGAAAACCAAGCCTTGGGAAGATGAGAGGATTCTGCTCCATTCCTACAGCTAATAAATAAGAATAATTTCTTCCAAGGTCAATCTAACTACTATGCTCCTCCTTCCAAGCCACCTAGTACATCCTTGACCTTGTTTCAGTGAATCAATGACCTGGACTGGTATCATGAGTAAAAATAATGTTGGCTGGCAACAAAGTTGTTAGTATGGTGTGTGTGTTCTTGTCCTTATCATCCTCTCCTCTGCACTAGAATCACAGTAGACTCCTGTTGGGCTCCAGGTCCTGTCTTGACTATTTTGAAAATGGTTGCTAGCTCATCCTTTTTACTCCGTCCTCACTCTCATCGTAATTCCTCACTGTCTTCTTGATTCATCCCCTTCTGGAGTCTCATCTTACCAGGATGATACTCTCTTCAGTGGATCTTTTGCATCCAGTCTTACCCCCTGCTGTCCATCCCCACAACGTCACTGGATTACATACCTTCCCAGCTCCCTGTCACCTGCTGGATACAGTGCAAACTCCTAGGACATTATTCTCAATATGTTAATTAATCACCTCCCTTCCCAATAGACTGTAACAGGAAGAAACGAACATGCCCAAGTCATTGATGTCTTCCAGATATCTGGGGTACTTCATATCAGGCACATGATCATTACTGACAATGTTTTTAAACTATTTATCATGTTTTGGAGACATAAGGGAAGATTGAATCAATAAAGGGGTCCTTCTGAGTGCCTCCTGCTGTGAGGCTGTCTCTGTCACTCCCCAGAGGCTGTCCCAAGAGAAGCAGACCTCAGACTCCGACAGCCTGGGCATGGGCGACAATGGTTCCACCCTTGGCCGCGAACATGGTAGGAGCCTCTGCCAGCTGGGGCTGGAGAATGCCAGAGCTACAGTGGCCTTGCCTATGGGCACACAGTTGCAGAGCCTGTTCCTGTCATACCTGGGACTGCAGGCCAGTCCCTGTGGGCGGGCTGCGAGGGCGGAACCGGGTTGCAGGGCCCTCAGCCCCCTCTGATCTATCTCTGCGGTACCAGGCAAAGGGAAGAAGAGCAGCCTGGCTGAGCTGAAGGGCTCCATGAGCAGGGCTGCTGGCCGCAAGATTACCCGCATCATCAGCTTTTCCAAGAAGAAGGCGCTGGCTGAGGACCTGCAGACGTTCTCCGCAGAGGAGGAGGTTCCATGTTGTGGTAGGTAACCTCATGGGGAGCACGGGGGTTCAAACCCTACAGATCCAGACTCCTAGGGCTAAAGCCAAGAGACCCTCCCCATGCCTTGTCCACCTGCTCCCCAAGGCAGGGGAGAGATCGCAGCCTCTGGATGGCTGAATCCCACTCCGTGAACTTCCATGTCCTGCTTCACTTGGTTCCCATGAGGCCCCAATGCTCAGCCAAAGGGAAAGCCAACTGACTCCATGTCTGCGTTCCCTGTGTCCTTAGTCTAAACCACTGCCCATCTCTGGGCCTCAGTTTCTCACTGTCCTCTGCTGTAATGAGAGGACTGTGACTTATTTCATAGCATGTAACTCGCCAGGTTTATAAGTTACAGCCCTGTCTCAAAGGAAATTTGGATAAAATTATTTAAGGACTTTTTAATATAAATGTGTTCAATGTGAGTGAAAACTGTTTGGGAAGGGAAAGCATTATCTTTTTCACGTACATGCAGTATATGGAATATACACTGTAATCCAGTGGAAAACCGTCTGTTTTAAGGGGCTGAAAGGTTGCGTGAGGCCCTGGGTTCAATTCCCGGCACTGCAAAAAAATAAAATAAAATCATCTGTTTCGGATATGCAGAAATATTCTAGTAGCCCTGAAAAAAAAAATACTCCAAAAGCACATAACAAGGCGGGCTACGGTAAAAGGAAAAGTAAGTGTGAAGGGCTGAGAGACAATTCTAACCCCATCTGAGGCCTTCCCAGAGTTCTTCCATTCTTTCCCTTGGCCGGATGGTGTTGTTCCCACGCGCTGCCGCTAGGTGTCAGCGCCATCCATTAGTTTCCACCTTTCAGGCTCAGTTTCGATGGGGGCGGATGGATGGAGTTGTCTTATCTATCTTCTATGGAGCTCCCGCGCTTTTCTTCCCACCAGGCGTGGTCCCCAGGGTGTGCAGTGATGAATGGTTGCGAGAGTCATTGCCGAAGGGCACAGGCGGGAGAGCGGGCTGAGGGAGGCGGGCGCAGTACCCTCCCCGCCTGGGGTTTGGGCGGGCTGTGGGGAGGTCACGCCGCCCTGTCCCCTCGCAGGCTATCTGAACGTGCTGGTGAGCCAGGGCTGGAAGGAACGCTGGTGCCGCCTCAAGTGCAACACTCTGTACTTCCACAAGGACCGCGCGGACCTGCGGACCCACGTGAACGCCATCGCCCTGCGCGGCTGCGAGGTGGCCCCGGGCTTTGGGCCCCGGCACCCATTTGCCTTCAGGATCCTGCGCAACCGGCAGGAGGTGGTCATCCTGGAGGTGAGAGGAGAAGGCCCGAGAGGTCCTGAGCACTGGACCCTGGCCTCCAGGTCTTGTCTTTGTGCAGGTGGTGGGCTTGCCACGACACTGCACTGCAGGGACTGAGCGGGGAGGCCCTAGTAGGCCTGCCAGTAACATAGGACACACACGTAAATTCGAATTCCACCTAAACAATAACATGTCTAACACAAGTACATCCCATACATTTGGGGGCTATACCTGTACTAGAGTTTTTGTTTTGTTTTTATCTGAAATTCATATAACTTAAGAGCATTCCATATGTTTACTTCCTAATTCTGGTAGCCCTAGAACCAAGGTTTGTTTATTGCTCCCGACCTTAAAATTCCAAATCTGAAAGGCATCTCATCTGATGTAAGGCCCACATTTGATTCTGGGGTCCCCTCTAAACCCTTCCCAGCAGGGGTCTCCATCTCAGATGAATAGAGTCCTTCAATTAGCCTGCCCCTCCCAGCAAGCAACTTGAATTTCTAGAAAGGTTTCTCAGGCCAGGTGTGGTGGTACACACGTGAACCCAGCTTCTTGGGAGATGGAAGTAGGTGGATCAAGGTCCAAGGGGAACCCGGGACAAAAGTGGCCTTATCGGTAAACTAAAGCTGGAAGGGCTGGGGGCGTATGCTCTGCATACTTTCATTTTTCTAAAACATTACACGTGAGGCACATCCTGTGGGTCCAATAAACATTAGCTGAGCGATGGATGAACGAACTGGGAATTCATTTCACTTGTTCACCCTCCTTCCTGCCCATTGGGCACTGGCCCTCCTCTCTGAGATCATGATGACACTGAGTTTCTCCTCCACATGACAGTCCCTTGGCTATTAGAATTTAAAATGTTACCTGCCTCTTTGCATTACAGGTAAAGAAACTGAGGCTGGGTCAGCCAGATGCTTTGTCCAGGGCTACACAGAGGGTCAGCAGTCTCTTGGTATTGTGTTAGAACTAAAACCCAGCCTTTTGGTGTTGCCCAATATCCACTGCCTCTGGGGACTGGGGATACAGTTCAGCAGTAGAGCGCTTGCCTAGCACGTACCAGCACCACAAAAACAGGAGTGGGGAGGGGGTCTTCTTTTATTTCCCTTAACTTATACACAGAACTTTTTAATTTAAAACGATACTTCCTTTATGCAGGTTTAGTTTGTATAAGCTATGTTGACTTTATAATAATACTCTTTCAATGAGAATTAAGTATGTGGTTAGATGATCAGCAAGTTTTGGAAATTTTCCTATATAAAGCACTATAATTATTTGGCAATCACAACACATTTGAGTTATATGAGCATAGCCTCCTATAATAAAAAGCATAGTTTTCGCAAATTTCAGGGAATACCTAAACATTGTTTTTACACCAGATGTTGGGAGGACCCTGAGGGTGGGAGTGAGGGTGCTCTCTTAAAGGGGTAGTCAGGGAGGGCCTCTCGGAGGAGATGGCTTTTGAGCATAAATTTGAATAGGAGGAAGGAAGGAATCTGATTTCTGGATATGTGTTCTACTCTTATTCTTCTTTTACCCCTAAGTGTTGGGTATCCAGTAAGTACTTAAAAGTATTTGTGGGTTTGACTGAAGTAAGCAGGTAGCCAGAAACCCTCACAGTGCTACATGAACTGCACTCTACATCCTCTTTTCCAGGCAAACTGTTCAGAGGACATGGGTCGCTGGCTTGGGCTGCTGCTGGTGGAGATGGGCTCCAAAGTCACCCCAGAGGCACTGCACTATGATTACGTGGATGTGGAGACCTTAACCAGCATCGTCAGTGCTGGGCGCAACTCCTTCCTGTAAGGGTCAGGCCCTGACACACACACCTGACCAAGGGCTTTTCCTGTCTCAGCTCCATCTCGGAGGTTCTGCGTACAGCTTCAGGCACTGGGAGGAAAGGGAGGAAGCCCTTGGGAGGATTGTTCCTTGGGATGCTAGGATGGGGCCTTCTTCATCCAGCATGGGGGAGGGAACTGGCTGAAGGACCTGGGCCAGGGTCCTTCAGCTGTGGATAGAATGAGCAAAAGTGCGGAAGCCGGGGAGAAGTGGTCTGTGCTCTGCCCTCGTGCCATGGGACCTTAAGCTGTCACACCCCCCAAGCATCCAGGTGGGCATGTAGCTGGTCCATGAAGTTCAGCCTTAGAAGAGCTGAAGCCAAGCATGGTAATGCACGTCTATAATCCAACACTCAGGAGGCTGAGGCAGGAAGACTGAGAGTTCAAGGCCAGCCTAGGCTACATGGTGAGACCCTGATCAAAAAAAGAATAAAAGAGCTGAGTTTGAGTCCCAGTTCTCTAACCCCAGCTGTGGAAGCACGGGCAGGTTGCTTGCTACCTGGACCAGGTTTCCTGATTTATAGATGGTGGTGATGAATTCCTGCCCCTGAAGGCCTCACACAGCACATGATCTTTTGACTACGTTAAGCTGCTGCTGGAATCATATGAGGGTGGCAGGAAGTAGTGTAAGTCTCAAAGTGTCATTTCCATCATCCCTGTACCTTTCCTTTTCTAGCTATGCAAGATCTTGCCAGGATCAGTGGCCAGAGCCCCGAGTCTACGATGACGTTCCTTACGAAAAGATGCAGGTACAGTCCACTGGAGCTATGAACATGGCAAAGACCACTTTGCTGTCTCTCTCTTTCCCCTCATGGCCCCTTGTGCTTGTGTCTAACTAGCAGCTGGAAGGGGAGCCCCGTCTTCTTGCAGCATGTGGTTCAGAGTGAGGACTCCCTGGTGCAGCAGGGTGGCTGGTCAGCAGCAAGAGGCCTAGATTGGGAGGAAGAAAGGGCTCAGGAGACTGTGTCCCCTGCAGGACCATGAGGCAGTGGGTCCAGCTGAGCAAGGGGCTGGGCTGAGCTGTCCTCTGTGTGCTGCTCTGTGAACTCAGGCTGCAGATCCAGTGTCCCTGGGGATGACCAATGCTGACCGGGCAACCACCCCCAAGCCCTCACCTGGTGGCATTCTACATTTACACCTCATCTATTTTTCTCCCTAAACCACGAGGCAGCTCGTTAATTTACAGGGAGGCCTCTGCCACTGTCACACGTCCCCAAGTGACTGTGACACACAGAAGGACTACCAAGGCCAGAGTCCTGTCATGAACAGTGCTGGGTGACACTGAGCTCTCACCTCCACAGACAACCTTTTCTAGAAACTTCCCCCCAGCCACCCTGCTGTTTCCCTGGTCTTTCTTCAGACTCAGATGAACCAGTGGGTGTAGCTTGAGGTTTTGCTCGGTTGTAAGGCAAGTAGGAGCCAGGAAGCCTGGCGCTTCAGACATGAACACTGGAGTCAGACTCAGCTGAGGCCACCTGCTCAGGCTTGCTTCTGTGGCCCTCACGTCCCAACTCAGTGTGCACATGTAAAAGCCTATTTTTTAGGGGTATGGCAATAACTAAATGAAATACTTCATGTAAAAAAATTAGCATAGTGCCTGCACATTGTAAAGTTTTATACAGAGGAGTAAGTAGAACTAATGTAGTTGTTATATAAACGTATTATCCTATTCCAGGATTTTGAGCATCTGTAATATTCTTTTGTTTACTTTTTTCTTTGTGGTACTGAGGACTGAACTCAAGGGCCTTGTGCTGCACTCTACCATTTGAGCCATACTCCCAGTCCTTTTGCTTAGCTTGCTTTGGGACAGAGTCTCGCACTAACTTTTGCCTGGGCCAGCCTCAGATGGCAATCCCCCACCTCCATCTCTCAAGTAGCTGGGATTACAGGTGTGTACCACCACACCTGACTGGAATATTCTTTTTGTTTTTTGGTGGGTCTGGGGTTTGAGCTCAGGGCTTCACAGTTGCTAAGTAGACGCTGTACCACTTGAGCCATGCCGCCAGTCCATTTTGCTCTGGTTATTTTGGAGATAGAGTCTCTCGAACTATCAGTGCTAGCTGGCCTGGCCCCAAACTGCAATCCTCATGATCTCAGCTCCCAAGTAGCTAAGATTACAGGCATGAGCCACTGGCGCCTATCTCTGACTGTAATATTCTTAATGCACCAGTCTAGTAAGTTCTAACTCCTTTCATCTATGACATTTCATCTATGACATTTCTTTCTTCTTTTTTTTTGAGGGAAACTACTAGCAATTCAGAAAATTAGAAGTCTGTTTCCAAGTGATGTGAGGACAAAAATACCTAAGATAAATCAAATCTAATGACCCACAGTCTTTTTGAGACTTCTTGATTAGCCTCTCAGCAGGGTGCCTTCTGCTGCCTCCCATAGCAAGTACGAGCTTCACATGGTATGTTGCTAGTGAAAGTGATTTACAAAATGTGTAACTTGCACGGCACAAGTCTACAAACGTAAGGCCAAGTTCTCAGAGGTCCCACCATGCTCACCCTCCAGCAAGGACAGAGCCCCCCTCCCTCGATGTCTAGGCCTGCCTGCACTTAATCTTCCTCCTCATCTCCCAAGCAGGATGAAGAGCCCGAGCGGCCCACTGGGACCCAGGTGAAGCGCCATGCATCCTCCTGCAGTGAGAAGTCCCATCGAGTGGACCCACAGGTCAAAGTCAAGCGCCATGCCTCCAGTGAGTTCCATGCGGGCCTTCTCTGCTGAGCAGGGAGCGGGAGGGAAACAGACCATGCTTCCTCCTGGTGTCAGGCAGGCAAATTTAATGGGTAAGGAGAGGAGAAAGAAAACACTGTACCCTAAGAAAAGTAACAGCCACCGGGGTGTATCTCAGTGGTAGACAGCTTGCCCAAGAACCTGGTTCCATTCCTAGCAGCTCAAGAAAAAAAGAAAAAGGAAAAGTAACAACAAAGTACAGAGATGGAGGGAGAGCAAAACTGGAGTGCTCGGGCCCCAACTCTATGGCCACCATTACGCCCTCGAGTGGTCCCCACACAGGAGCACAGCCCCTGATGCCAGACTTACTGATTATTCCAAAGGCCAGAAATCTAGACTTTATTAAAATCTCACGTTTTAATATTAGGAAATAGTTTTTTAAAATTCTAACACTGAATGAGTGTGTACATAGATGAGTGTATATACATCATATGCACTCATTCAGTATGGACAGATACAGAATTCATCTCTAAACTATATCCGTTGCAGAGGCCAACAATTTTTGGTTTCTGATCTAGGGTAAAATGTGAAGATCCAGACCCCTCCACACACCCTGGAGGGGACTGCAATGAGAGCCACAGCTCACCTGTGTCCCAGTCTGAGCTCTACCCAGCACCACATGGGACACAGAAGTTCCTGATTGTCACTACACAGGATTGACTAAGTGTGCCAGATAACGGCTGCAAGTTCTGTGTTTCCAGCTCTTGCCTCTGCTCCTGTGTGACCTGTGACTGTCAGCAAGCCAGTTTCCTGCAGAACAACATGTTCCAAGAGTTTCTTCTTCCTTCCTTTACATTTCTTCCCCCTGCACCTGAACAAAGCCACATTCTATTTTTGCTTTGTGAAGACTTATTTTGGAAAAACTACTTTTTCTACACTATAGCTCCATTTCATTATTACAGATCATCTCTCCTGGGAGTCAGATTTGTCTTCTGTTCCTCACTTGACCACTATATTACTATGTGACTTTGAAAAAGTCTCTTCTCCTCTCTGGGACCGAGTTCCCTCCCTAAACAGTTAAGAGATGTGTGACACTCTTTAAATGCTGCTCTCTTAGGCACTGGAAATTCAGAGCCTTGTGAAAACCCCACTTTAAAGGGAAGTTTAACTGAAACAAGCATGTAAGAATAAAGCAATCACAAAATGTCAAAAAAATACCTAGACCCCTTATTCAAATCAAATCTCTCATGAAAGCGATACGAATGGATCTACTTTGGCTAAGGCCTCTCCTGTGCCCCCACAGTGGCCTATTAGCCACCACGGTAAAGTCACAGGGCTTCTTGAGAAGCAACTGGAAACCACAGTGGGGAAACACAGATGTAGTCCAACATGATTGCTTTTCACATGAAGAAACTAAAGAACACAAAAGGAAAGGTGCTTAGTCTACCCGTAGCCTTTTGCTATAACAAAATTCCATAAACTGGATAACCAAAAACCAAACATTTATTTCTCATAGGTCTCTAGGCTGGAAAGTCCAAGGAACCAGCAGATTTGGTGTCCATGAGGGCCCGTTTTCTGTTTCATAGATGGCCCTCTTATTGTTCTCTGTGGTCTCTTTTGTAAAGACACTAATCCCATTTACAAAGGTTCTGCCATTTTGTAGTGGGACCTAACCTCTCTGTCCCTCAGTTTCCTCAACAATAAAATAGCGCTCATAAGTAATTAGCAGACAGGCAAATAAATAATAGCGCTAATGATAAAATAGCTTTTATAAGGATTAAATGGGAATGAAAGTAAATGCCTTAGCAGGTAATGCCTAGCATATAGTGACCAGGCAATTAGTTTTTGCCATAATCTTTTGTTGTTACTGTCCATGATTGTGTTGCACCTACAGTAGACTACTTCCTCAGCAAAACAATGGGCAGTGCCTGACGTTAGCCCAGGTCGGAATCTCTGTAGAGCTGAGTTGTTTGTAGCTGTCTCCCTATCTCATACGTACCTGAGAGTTGATTCCTATAAAACATTCCCTTTTAAAACCAAAGTGTGTTATCCATCATAAAATTTGTTATTATATATTACCATTGTCGTTATTATCTAATATTTACTAAGTACTCACCATTCGCCAACTACTATACTAAGTAACTTAACTATCTCATTTAAACCTCACTGCATCCTGCGAGGTACATGTTGTCAATATCCCTATTTCCATGTAAGGAAGGTGAGGCCTGGCGGAAAGGAATACCATTCACTTCCGCCCGGCATCACACAACAGTAAGGACCGATCTGCCTGGTTCCAAAGCCCTTGCCCCTGTCTCCATGCTCTGCTGCTTCCCCTTTGCGCCTTTCTTCCTTGGGATTCACACTAAATATATCTAAAGGAGCAAATCTAAATATTCCTGAGCTTATAGACAGAGAAGTCGAGGCTGAGAGAGAAGCTAGCACCACCTACACCTCACCAGAGGTCAGAACTGAGGCTTTTTTCTTCCCTCTGCAGGTGCCAATCAATACAAGTACGGTAAGAACCGAGCTGAGGAGGACGCCCGGAGGTACCTAGTAGAAAAAGAGAAGCTGGAGAAAGAGAAAGAGACAATTCGGACAGAGCTGATGGCCCTGCGGCAAGAGAAAAGGGACCTGAGGGAAGCCATTCGGAACAACCCAGGTACCTGCATGGGTGCGGAACGGCTCAGCCTTGGCACCTCCCCTGGCACAGCAACGGGAGCTCTCTTGCACAGGCTACCCAGTTTCCCACACAGAAGAGGTAGCCTTCTCTCCCCTAATCCTCCTCACTAAAGGAAGGGCCAGTAGTTTAGTGACTGCTTTTAGCTAGAGGATGAAAAAGCATCACAATAATGGTAGTCCTAACAGTAGTAAGAGGCAACCTGGTTTTAGAAGTGTGCCTTAACTTCAAGGAGATAAGCAATCCCTTGGAATCCCACGTGCATTCACTCACAGATATGTTAAGACGCTGGTCCAGGGTCTAGGAATGATGGACAGTGACATTTCCCACCATCCTCTTCAGAAATCCAGGGACCTCAGCAGGCCCTACCTGCTCTGGCCTCCTCCACACCCATTTTCTTCTGAGTTTCCTTTAATTCTCTCTCAAGCTTCAGTTTAACATTTTCAGCCTGAGATTCCTCCATAAGCTGGGGGGAACAGAAGTCCTGTCCATACAGAACATGTCCAAGATAGCATCACCCTCTGAAGCACCGATCGATCCTAAGGCCAATTCTTATAGACCTTCCCCGAAGCCCATCCACAGATTGAAATGAACCTCAGAAGATAAGACACATTGTGTGTCTCAAAACCAGAATCAGTGGGAGAGAGGAGCCTAGAGGTAGTTTGGTTTCATTACAGAGAATTGTCCAAGCTGGGCACTGGTGGCTCACACCTATAATCCTAGCTACTCAGGAGGCAGAGATCAGCAGGATTGTGGTTCAAAGCCAGCTCAGGCAAATAGTTCCACAGACCCTATCTCGAAAAACCCTTCACAAAAATAGGGCTGGTGGAGTGGCTCAAGGTGAAGGCCCTGAGTTCAAGCCCCAGTACCTCAAAAAAGAATTTTCCAAGAGTCGGAACCAGGATTTGAAGCAGGCTCACTATCCTACTTGTCCTGCTCAACTTTTTTTTTTTTCTATAGCACTATTCACTTTGTAACATAGTAGATTATTTATTATGTTTATTATTTTATTTCTTATAACATACACAAATATAAGCAAGTATCGTTGCCTGTTTAGCTCAATGATACATCCCAAGGGTCTAGGATAGTACCTGGTACATAGTAAGAATACAATAAATATCTACTGAAGAAATGAATGAATGGATTTAACAGACTGGGAAACCCTCCAGTGTAAAGTCCAAAGAATGGGACTAATTTTTAAACCTAGTAAAACTCAACACCGTTTGGCACAACAAAGATACTATGCAGGTTTGTTGGATTAAACTGTAAGCAGCAAAATCCTACTGGAAACCCTGGTCTGTGTAAAGCCTTGGGTTATGACTGCGGTATGCAAGTGGCAGAAACAAAAGTGAAAATGGCATGGAAATAAAAGAAGAAAAATGAGCTGCAAAATTGAGAAGCAGGTGTATTGAGGCATAGGGCTCTAAATGATGTCACCAGGAAGCTAACTTCTCTAACTCATATTTGTACCGTCCCTCTTTTTGATTTTGTTGTTTCCCTCTTGTGGGAGGCCTCAGCCCTTACCCAGTCCTCTTAGCCACCCCAGCAAAGAAAGTTTCTCTTTCCAGTGACTGCTACCAAAACTTCAGGATTCACTCTAATTAGACCCAAGTCTTATCCCTAAGCCAGTCATTGTGATCAGAAAAATGAGACGTGATCATAGGACAGGCCTAGGTTATGTGCCAAATCCTTGATCTAGGAATGAGGTCAGCCCCACTCAAACTACAAGGAATGAGAGGGGAAAGATGGTTTTCCAGTAGAAAATCAGGGTGCTATTTCTGGAAGATGGGTACTGGGCAGATAAAGACCACACCACTCATCACTCAGCATGGAGCTGGAAGCCCAGGCCCAAAATCCATCTCATAACCAGGACTAAGGAATTGGAGAGACACTGCAGAAGGGACAGATAGGAGTTGGAGGCCCTGACAAGACTCCCTGAGCTCCAGGCTAGGCTCAACTGTTTCTCATCAGTGTCTCTGGACTCAGGAGCAAGGCTGAAGGCCCTGGAGGATGCTGTGACCACCCTGGAAGCTGAGTGTCGGGCAAAGGAAGAACGCCGCATTGACCTAGAGCTGAGGCTCGTGTCTGTGAAGGAGCGCCTGCAGCAGTCCCTAGCAGGGGGCCCGGCCCTGGGGCTCTCAGTGAGCAGCAAGAACAAGAGTGGGGTGAGTCCACTGCCTGACCCTCAGTCCCCTTTTATACTACGGATGTCTCATTCAGGACTGTTTCTTGGGGGCAGGTTTGCTCCTTTACGGATGAGAATGCTAAGGCCCAAAGAGGTGAGAGCATGTACCACCTGCAGCACAGCTAGGAAGAGGACTCTTGGAGCAAGTTCTAGGGGCTCTCCAGCCTGTCGCTCCCTCCTCAGCAGCAACACCGTGGTCTTAGACATTTGAGATCTTAGAAATGGCTTTGGGGTTATTAATGACAGTAGCTAGCCCATGTTGAATAGCGAACATGTTGATGGATTACCATGGCCAGTAAGGCCATACTTAAGCTGTATTACCTCACTAAATCTTCACAGCAATCCTATAAGGTAGTGTTGCATGTATTAACCTCACTTGACAGACAAGGAAACTGGGTTTAGAGGTCTTGAATGACTTACTCAAGGTCATTCAGTGAGGTGATAAGACAGAATTCCAGACCCAAGAAGTCTGACTATAGAGCTTCACGACCGTGGCACGTGACCTTTCCTGAGATCTCCAAGTCCTATCGTTAGGGCTTTGCATCTATTCTCTGTCATGCTCCTGGCAGCCCTGCGAGGTGGTACTCTCACCTCCAACAGGACTTCCTCAGAGAGACTTCCCTGACCTTATGTCTATCAGGGTTTTTTTTTTTAATCAGCATATATTAATTGTACAAAGGAGTTTCATTGTGGTATTTCCATATATGTATATAATGTGCTTTGATCAAATTTACCCCCTCTATTACTTTCTATTATCATTACCTTTTCATTCCCTCTTTATGTTAGTTTTTATTGAGTTTATTTTCATACTTACATATAATGTACTTTGATCATATTCACTCCCCCATCACTTTCTGCTTCCCCCGATCCCTCCCACTGGTCCCCCTTTTACATTCATGTCAAATTTTTTATAGGTCTAGATTCTACATATGAGTGAGAACAGGCAATATTTGTCTTTCTGATCTTGGCTTATCTCATTCAACATGATCTCCAGTTCCATCCATTTTCCTCTATTAGAGTTTTCGATCCTAACAGTGTTCACATTTGGGACCAATAATTCTTTTTTATAGGGGACTGTTGTGTGCATCCTAGGATGTTTACCAGAATCCCTAATCTCTACCCATTGGTAGCTAATAGCACGCCACCCTGTTTTGATAACAAAAATGGCTCCATTTTTGTTTGTCATTCATCATTTGGACGAATTGGTACACATCTATAATCCCAGCACTTAGGAGGCGGAGGCAGGAGGATTATGAGTTTGAGGTCAGCCTGGAATAAATAGTGGGTTCCAGGCCATCCTGTGCTGTGAGACCCTGGCTGAAAAAATAAAGTTTCCAGAAATTGCCAGATGTCCCTGGGAAGACAAAATCATCCCTAATGGGGAAACACTAGTCTCAATTACCAAGAGTCCCATCTGTTAATCTTCCTCATAGCATTGAACCCACAACTTTTATGTGTATTTGTATTTATCTTTGCATAATGTGTGTCTCCCACACATACAACTAGTTTGTATTTTTATTAGTAATTGGGGCCTAGGAGTGTACCTCAGTGTATAACACTTGCCTGGCCTGTCTGATGCCCTAGGTTCAATCCCCAGCACCAAAAAAAAGGAACTAAGACTGTGTATTTTGTTTATTATATCACTAGACCTTTACAAAGTCTGAATAGTAGGAGTGTAATAAATGCTTGTTGAATGACTAAATGTCTTTCCTGCTTTCACATTACAAAATTGAGACTCAAAGAGAACAAACAGCTTGTTTAATAAATATGAGTTGTGATTGGGAGCTGTGTTATTATTGCTATTGTTCCAGATCACACCCAGTGACTCTGAAGCCAGAACTGTGTCTTACACCTCCACACTTCCTCTCCATGGGGTGTTTCCAACCTCATTTTACAGATGAGGAACATTTCCTCACAGTCACAGAGGGCTGGTGGAGGAACTAGAACTGGCTCATCCATTACAGCTGCTTCCTCCCACTAGCACACCCTGATGTTCCTTGTCCAGAGTGCTTCACTTTTCACTTTGGATCTTTCTGATACCTTTGGAGATAAAGAGAAGTCTTCTCTATATTCCTTACAGTCTTAGCTACTAAGATACCACACTTAAGGAACTGCATCCAGTAAGACATTAAGCAATTGTCTAGAAGATGTAAAGGGTGAAGGGAGTGCAGAAAATAAGAAGAAATACCAGAGAGAGGTGAAGAGTAGGGCTGCATGGCTCTGTGGTAGAGCATGTGCTTAGATGCATGAGGCCCTGGGCTCAAAACAACAGCAGAGCTGTGGGGCTTGAATCCCAGCTCTCATATTTACCAGTCAGTGACATTGCACAGCAACTTGACTTTCCCGGTTTCCTTATTTGTAAAATGGATGGCTCATAGTATTACTTTGTGAACTTGTTGAAAGTTGCATGAGCTAATCCATGCAGTGCTTGGTACAATGTGAGGGTTTGGTAATCATGGTTGTTACTGTTTAAGTCTGTGACCTCAGTATCTTCTTCCCCTCACCCTTGTTCAATGCTGACATGTTTGCCTAATGCCTTCTATTTTAAAGTGCCTTACTTGGAGGGCAGGCTGCATGCAGATAGCCAGCATTAGATCTTTTTTTTTTTTTTTGGACTACCAACAGGAAACTTCAACTAAACCCCAGAACAATGTCTCTGAGCAGTCTCTCCCTGTCAACTGTGTTTCTGAGCTGAGGAAAAGGAGCCCATCCATCGGAACCTCCAACCAAGGAAGGGTGCTACAGAAAGCCAAGGTACACCAACAGTTCCACACTCAAAAGTCACAGATGTGAGGGCTGGTGGAATGGCTCAAGAGTTAGAGCACCTGCTCAGCAAGTGTGAGGCCCTAAGTTCAAACCCCATGAAAAAAAATTAAAATGATACTTTGTGCTGGTGGAGTGGCTCAAGTGGTAGAGCACCTGCCTAGCAAGCATGAGGTCCTGAGTTCAAACCCCCAACCCCAGTTCTGCCAAAAAAAAAAAAAAGAAAGGAAGTCACAGATCTGGTAGCTCTTTATATATGGAAACTCACCAAAACCAAAAATATCAGCATGTAAGAAAGGGAGGAAATTGCCAGTACATCCATGCAGTAAAACTCATGAGTTTTCATCAAGAGCCATAATCCTCAAATTTCACCCAGAACTTATTCACTCATTGTTAATGCATAGTTCTGACAAGCTCAATCATTTGGTTTCTGAGCCTAAAATTGTTTTAAGACAGGAAAGGTCCCATTTCTTAAGTGAAGAAACAAGATCTGGTGGTGATAGGACTTGCCAAAGGGTATGCAAGGTATCATTGGCAAAGTGGATATACAAACACCCCTCTTCCAGTTCTTACTGTACAGCTGGGTCATAGTCCCTTTGGGTAACTCACACTCAGCTGTGTTTCAGAACTCACTGAATTGTACAATGGCAGATGCTAAGTAGGATGGAAAAACTCCAAGTTTTAGGTAGTACCTGTAAGCACATTTGTTAACAATTCTTCATTAGGTCACATGACTGTTCTCACCTCCATGGACTAACCAACAGCTTCCTATCAGGTCAGACCAGACTTTGCCACCAATGAGTTTATACCAAAACACTTGAGAAATATGTTAGCTTCAGAGCTCTCTAGATTTCACAATAGCAGATAAAAAGTGTGGACCTGAAGAACAAAAGCCCAGTGCTGGACATGGTAGCACTCGGGAGGCTGAGGCAGGAGGATCATTAGTTCAAGGCTAGTCTGGGTTACATAGCAAGACCATGTCTCAAAAAAAAACTGCCTAGCACATATGAGATGCTCAGTAAGCCTTTGCTGAAGTTGATGCTGAGCACAGAATGTCTCAGATATTGGTGGGAGATGAGACGGGAAAGATAGTTTGATGTAAAGATCAATGAGTTTTCTATTTAAGATGAAAAATTAGCAGGGAACCCAAACAAGTCCCTGCCCTCAAGGAGTTGGGAGGAAGAGTTTAAATAAACACATAAATAAAGAATATGATGCCAGTTGGTAATAGGTACTGTGATGTAAAAGAAAGCAGGAGAAGGCGAGAGAAGACAAGTGATATGGCTGCTGTTAGTTATAATGGCAGCAAAGGCCATTTCGAGAGATAACACATAAGCAACCAACCAAATGGAGTGTGAGGGAGTGAGTGGTATCTGAGGGAAAGGTGACTCAGGAAGAAAGAAGAGCAAGAGCAAGTGCCAGGTCCTTGAAATGAAGAAAAAGCTTAACATGTTTGAGAACCATCAGGCAAATCTGAGTGGTTCCAGTGAGAGGAACAAAGGGTGACCATTAGGAAATGAGATCAGAGAAGGAACCAGCTAGGGCCAGTTGTCCAGTCCTGAGCTGACAAACTTTCTGTAAAGTACCAGACAGTAAATATTTTAGACTTTGTGGGCCATATAGTCTGTTTTTACCACCACTCATCTCTGCCATTGTAGCACAAAAATAGCCATTGACAATTGGTAATTACATGAACAACATGGCTGCGTCCCAATAAAACTAAAGACTAAAATTTGAATTGCATATAATTTTCACTCATCATGAAATACTGTTCTCTTTCTTTTTTCTTCCAAACACTTAAAAATGTAGAAAACATTCTTAGCTAATGGGTTATATGAAAAAGTAGACAACAAACCAGATCTGGTCAATAGGTCATATTTAGACAATCCTTTATCTAAGACTTATAGGCCATTGGAGGATCTCTAGATTATGTTTAACATAATGACAGCTGAGCACTGGTGGCTCACACCTGTAATCCTAGCTACTTAGGAGGCAGAAATCAGAGGATCATGGTTTGATGCCAACCTGGGCAAACAGTTCATGAGACCCCATCTCGAAAAACCCATCATCAAAAAGGGCTGGTAATGTAGGCCCTGAGTTCAAACCCCAGTCCACAAAAAAAAAAAGGAAACTCTCTGACCAGATTTGAGCAAGGCATTTTTCATGTCAATCACATATTTAAGGCCATCTTGGCTACTCTGTTTGGAATGGATGAAGGGACAAGAGATAGCAGCATGAAGAAGTGACTTACTCAAGGCCACAAAATAACTAGGATCAGGATCCAAGGTTCTCTAGCCTGGCCGGTGGAGATCTTTATATAAGTAGGTGCAGTAAAATGTTTTTTATTCTTCAGTTGTACTAGAACACTCAACAAATTGATTTATTTTGTCTTTCTGTACTTAAGGAATGGGAAATGAAGAAGACCTAGAAAGAGGATGAAGATTCCATTCCAAAAGAACCATCAACTTGTCCATCTAAGGCAGAAATGCTTTCTTCACACAGAAAACCAGGAGAAGACTGGAGTAACCCCCCTACTCTCTGGGGCACCCAAAAGACCATGTTATTGTCTGTATGATTTTAGGGCTTGTAGGGAGGGAAGGAGTAAAAGGAAGGAGGAAATAGAAAGCAACCTTATGACTTTACAAAGGGTAGAAGTGGGGGTAGAGGGAGACAGAAGTCTGTACAGATGTAAAAGTTTTGTTTGGTATCTTTACCTTCCCTTCCAAAGAAGAAAAGAAAGCACATGTGAATAAGCCATTCCATCCCATCTCAACAGCCCATTCTCAGTCCTTAAGGCAAAGGAAGGCAGTGCAGTAACATTAGTTGTGCAGTGAAGAGAGAAGAAACTTGGCCATCTGATCACATTGTGCCAACTGCATTCCTGCTGGGCATGACAGACAACCTCTGGGCAAGACTAAGGGGTTGAATCCTTGCCTGCACAAAAGTGAACAAAAACTATTGAAACATTCAAATTCTACACTCATTCCTCCTCTGGTTTAAACTAGGCAGAGTGCAACTACTGGAATCTTACAGATTTAAGCATTTTAAAATCAGATACCCAAATACCCAGGGAGCAAAGAGAAGTTGATCTGGTGACATATTTTATGCTTGCAGTGACAGGAGCATGGAGTTCTAACATCCATGGAATGTTGTGGGCATTGAAGAGTGGGGTCATGTGCTGTCAGTCCTGTCCTTTACCTACTTTACATTGACACCGAGGCTCCTTGGACTATGGTTAGAAAACTAATGCCTTCAGCCTGATGAAATCCTCATCTTGCATTGGTAGACCCACTAGCCTGCCCTTCCAGCATCTTCTTTAAAGTAAACTTATCAAGGAAAACCAAGAGAATGGTGGCTCATTTCTGCCACATAGGTGCTAAGCCTTTGACAAGCACTTGATTCTTTTATAGGAGGAACAAGGACCTCAAGTCCAGGCAACCTCCTTTCTATGCTACTCACTATTATCGCAATACTGTAAGCACTTTATGGGTCTGTCCTTAACACATTTCTTTCCAATAAAAATAAAACCATTTAAGAGCTCAGAGATTAGCTCAAGAGGGGAATGGGGACAAGGATCCCAGAATAGTCAGTGAACCCTTTACTAGAGTCTTGGTATGTTTTACCCACTTAAGGCTTAACACGGTTTAGCCTCACTGAAACTTTACCATCCTCTGAAGTAGCTTGAGAGCACAGCTGGAAAACTAGCCCGTCCAAAATCAGCAGCTGATCACTGGCAAAACATATGACTTAGGTGTCATGATTCTGGACCTAGATAAGGCTGGGTTTGAGGTCTGTCTCTGCCTCCCAGTGGGGTGATCTCAGAAGAGCCACTGGGCTTCTCTGTTGCTTTCCATATCTTTGGAAATAGGGTTGCGGAAGTGGCTCATGTGTTGAAGTTCCTGCTTAGCAAGCATGAGGCCCTGAGTTCAAACCCCAGTACTGCCCCCCCAAAAAAATCATATAGTATATCCAAATAAGCCATATCATGGGGGTTTGTTTTTGTTTTACTTTAAGGGCTCTCCAGTAACTAAGCTGGCCACTACAAGCACCCTAGATCCCAATCACTAGCTCATCATCTTCCATCCTAAATCCCTAAAATTCATCCACATATTCCTATCTTCACTGGAACCATCCAACTTCATTAATTCATCCCACAAATGTTTGAGCACCTACCATATGAGATGTCAAGAAAAAAAAAACAGTTTTGAACAGGACAGACTTCATCCTTTCCATCTGGCAGCAGTCATCAGGCTCTTTAAAAGGGCTTGCTGATTTCCAGAAAATACAGCAGACTCATAAAACACTGAGACCTAAATTCCTTTCTACTCACCACACATACTGATTATGTGCAGAGGTTATTCAACTAAAGGAATAAATGTCCATTAAACTTAAAAAAAAAAGAAAAGAAAAAGACTTCATGAAGCTCAAACTCTAGTCAGGGAAAAAAAAAGAAAGGAATAAAATACGGAAACAAAAAGGGCGCTTGACACAACTAAGTAGGGTGGTGGTTACAAAAGTACCCTATCTAAAGTGATAGCAGGGCTTGTAGTTCATGCCAGCACAAGGGAGGCTGGGGTAAGTGAACGGGGAATACCAGGCTAGCCTGGGTGGCATAGCAAGAGCCTGTCTCAAAAAAAAAAAAAAGGAGGGAGGACTGCAGGACAGAACACATCCCCTCTTGCCTGGGCTACTGCAACAGCTTGTCTTTCCTACCTATTTTCTTATACCCTGCCATCTCCTCCCTACAGCAAGATGACTCTTCAAACCATCACACGTTCTCACTGCAATCAGAGTGAGTCTAAGGTTCGTTCAGGAAAACAAAAATTCAACACCTGCGTTAAGGTAACATTATCTCTGTCCTGAAAGAGCATTCATCTTAGCAAGAGGAAACGAGATAATACACATCATTTTTAAAAAGTTAAGTCAGAAAATAGAGGTACTGAAGAAAAAAGCAAGGAAGCGTAGGGGGAAGGAGCGGTCAGGCTGCAATCGTTTTTTTGATCGTTCACGTGATCCGATCCTACCTATCCGCTAGCCTTGTCACCACTCCCCTCTCTATATTTCAGTTCCTTGCATTCAAGTCTCCTCTCCACCGGATCTTTGCAGAATACGTTTCTGTGTGAACCACTTTCTTCCTCTTTTCTTCTACCAGTTCTTCAGCTCTCAGATCAAACATCAATCATTTAGGAAAACTTCCCACTTCTCGGCCCATTTGTATTCTAGGCTTCCGTAGTAATACGCCCCTCCCCTTTAAACACCGCTCATATTTTGATTTTTATATCGCGCTTGTGTTGAACATTTATAACGTCATGTAGCTCCACAAGAATACAGCGGTAATCCGCTTTGCTCGCCGCGAGCCACTCGCCGACCACTGAGCTTCCGCACCCTAGAACCCACTAGGTTCACACTGTGAACCGGAAGCGTTGCGTCCTGCCCGGAAGAACAGCACGGTGCACAGGACAACCAAAAACGTAGCGTTCCCGTCCGGAAGTCCTGAGAGGGAAATGTTCGCAGAGGCTGCCGGGAGGCGTGGTTTTTAAGTGAGCGCGTCTGGCCTCTAGAAGCAAGTGCGCGTGCGCTGCGCCCGTCCTCTCGGGTCTGGAATATGGCCGCGCGGTCGATGTGGGCGGTCCGGCGATGGGTGCAGCGCCTGCTGGCCTCAAGTGCCGCGTCTGAGAGCAGGTAAGCGTTGCGGGCGAGGGGTCGAAAATGTGAAGCTATGCCGGACACGTGTGCTGGCAGGACGGTTGTGGGCTGGAAGGTGAGGTTGACGTCGTAGGCGAGAGGCACCGCCAAGCCTCTCGGCCTCTAGGACCTCGCGTTCACGGTCCCATTTTACAGAGCGGGAAAGTGAGGCCCCATAGGCGTGCCTCTTTCCCTAGCCTAGAAAGGTGGGTAGAGCCGAGATCTTGGCCTGAGAGGTGGAAAGTCTGTTGAGCCCCAAACATCGGTTGAACTGGAACTGTACCTCCGTCCCTCCCGGCCCCTGCTCTTCGATGGTGTTTGGTGCTCATTTGGGTTCTTAACCTGACTCCTAGCCCTAGGTCGTCTCCTCCTCTTTTCCCGGGCATCGTGTCACCTGCCGGTGAAAGAAGGGCGTGGACCTGGTTTCTCCCAGGTGTCAGGGTACTGTACACGCCGACTGCAGAACGATGGGTAGCTGTTTCTGTTATTTCACGTTTAATAATTAAAGAGCATTTAACTCAGTTTAATAACTGAAGCCTGGAAAAACTAATACACAGGAAGTGGCAGAACCCGGACTGGAAACTTAATTTGTCAGGGTTAGAGAGCCGACGCTTTTATTGGTGAACATTGTTGATTATTCTCGAGGTGTTCCTGCGGCGGAGGAAAGGCTAGGGATAGGGTTGAGCTCTGAGTTGTAAATTTACCTCCATGGAAATTTGGATAACTATTTTGTCACTTTTTAAAAATCTCAGCACACCTGACTCAACATCCTGCCCTAACACAGGTTCGGAGTTGAATTTAGGGTTTGAGGCTAGGAATAGTTTTGTGTTTTTGTTTTCAAGATTTTTATCAGATTGTTGGTGAGATAAGGAAGTGTCAAAAACAAAAAAACAGTTCTCATAAGATTCCCCCACTGCAGTTCCAATGGAGTGGAATTGGAATCAGCCACAACTCTATTTCATAATTTGAGTTCTGACCATTTTCTATTCAGACTTGCCCAGAGACTAATTTGGTCTTCAAATTGGATTTTTTTTTTTTTAAGAGAAAGGAGGCATGTATAATTTGCCCCAGATCTATGTTGACCATATTTTCTGAACCAAAAATTTGGAACCATGTACAATCGGACATAGATCATAACAACTGGATTTAAGGCCAGCCTGAAAAGTCTGGGGGATAAAAGTTCTCTTGCCTGCATTTCTGGCTCTTCACTCTTCCTTTTCTTAACTCCTTTACCCCCCTCCCCCACCCCCAATTAAGCCTTTGCTCAGAAGTCATTTCAGTGACCACTGTTCATATAAATAATAAACTATTCGTTAAAATCAAATTATCAGGATCCAGTTGTAATGGAAACTTCATTAAACTAGGGATCAGAACTCCCACAGTCCAAGATCTGCTATAAACTGCCCCCAGTTTAAATTCTTCCTGTGTAAACAGCTAAATGTGGATGGAACATTTTAGTGATGCTGAGCAAGGACTTGCTGCCCTGCACACATAGAAGCCAATGCTATGGTATACTATTCTTTATTGTGAGGTAGACTGGTAGAAGGAAGTCAGGAGCAGCAGAAAGTGCAAATCTCTCTGCCCATTTAGTTGGTAGGGTACTTGATAGGAGGGAAGAGCAGCTGCTTGTTGAAGGGTTCTTCTGTGCAGGCCTAGACAGTCTGCATAGGCATGTGACCTCTTCATAGATCACATGTTTCTTTTCAGCGAGCAGTTATGTTTTTTACAGAGGCTTTTCAACTTATGGTGTTAAAAGGTCATTGACCAGACAAGCTGTCTTGTGTGCATGTCTGTTTTTTGAAAAGCTGGTTTCAAACTGTCCTTGAATGGATTCTGGAGGCACTTCCTGAAAGTCAACTTCAGTACTTTGTTATTTAAGGAATTTATGTCTGATGTGTCCAGGCTTTCACCAATTTCATTAGCTCTACAGAATTGTAGATAACATAACTGTTGAACACAAGGATCTGTTTTAGTGACCTGTATAGTCCAACTCAGAGTTTCTCTTTCTCAATAGTTTCTCTTCCCTGAAAGCCTTAACTTGTGGTCAAGAAGGCTTAGAATTCTAAGCCTAAATCAGCTCCCTGTACTAGACTTAATTTTCCCTTTCTGTAGAAGGGAAGATGAAGAATTGAACCAGGACTGTATGTTTTTGTGTTACTCCTGATACTAAATATCCTGCCTTAACAGAATACTAACAGTGTGATCTTTTGTTTGTTTGTTTGTTTGTTTTTGAGGTGGAGGAGGTCTCACTATGTTGATAAGGCTTCCACCTCAGCCTCCCCAGTCCTGGGACCATAGGTATACACCACCTTGCCAGGAGTAGTTGTGTGATGTTGAGTAAGTCATTAAGCCTAAACTTGTCAACCTCAGTTTTTTCATCAGCAAAACAGGGATGATGATAATATTTAAATTAATAACAGCAAAAAAGTGGGAGAAACACAATTGTCCATAAACTCCAATCCAACAAAGTATGGTATATTTGCATAGTGAAATATTACTTAGCAATAAAAAATAACCAATTAATGATAAATACATAATAATGATAAATGGATAAGCCTGAGAAACACATACTAAGTGAAAGAAACTACTCCCAAATGACCACATATTATATGATTCCTTTTATATTAAGACAAAAACTATGTCACACTCACCCAGGGCAGAGGATTTGATGGAAATAGCTAATGACTTCTAATTGGTACAAGCTATTTTTTTAAAAAAGCTCTTCAAAAGCTGAGCACTGGTGGCTCACACCTGTAATCTTACCTATTTAGGAGGCAGAGTTTAGGAGGATTCAAAGCCATCCCCAGCAAATAGTTCATGAGATCCTATCTCAAAAATAGCCAACACAAAACAGGATTGGCGGAATGGCTCAAGCCATAGAGCACTTGCCTAGTAAGCAGGTAAGCCTTGAATTCAAACCCCAGTACCACCAGAAAAAGAGCTCTTCAAGAAACCAAAGTAGTGCTTAACCTCACATGTTGTGAGATGACAAATGGTGATAGAAGTAAAACAGTGTTTGGAGCTTAGTAAGGACATTGCAGTGTTCATTTGTTTCTATGACTGAAAACACTTTCTCTAAAGCTTCAGTCTGGAGAAGTTTCTAGACTCTAAATTTTGTTGTAATTTTACCTTTTATGATGGCATTTCTTCATTATGGCTATTTCCTTCCTACTTTAGGGGATGGCTGCACCCATTTAGCACTGCCACCCAGAGAACGGTGGTGAGGACTGCAGTTCTGAGGACCCTCCTGATGAGCCTGGGCCCTCTCTTGCTGAACAAGCCTTAAGGCTAAAAGCTGTTAAACTGGAGAAAGAAGTCCAGGATTTAACAGTGAGTAAATTTATATTGTGTGTTCTTTATACCTTTTCTCTGGCTTAAATATTCAAGCAAAGATTTTATGTCATTTTTTTAAATGAAATCTCCTCTCATTGGCTTTTTTACCCCTCCACTGCTCTCTTGCAAGGTATACTAGGTTAAAAAAAAAAAAAGAAAAAGAAAAAAAGCTAAGGCTAGGGGTATGTTGCCTGCCTAGCAAGCAGGAGAGGCCCTGAGGTGATACATTGTGTGGCAAGTGGTAGACAGTAAGTACTTGTGAATGAGTGAGATTATTGGCTATTGTACTCTTGATCAGACGACATTGGTATACTGGTGCCAGTCCTGGGCTGACACACAGGGAGATAAGCTAGATATACAAGAGTGATTCCAAAGCGAAATTACTCAGAGTGATAGAGAGGCTGGAAAGCAATTAAAGGAACCAGGAATTATAAGAATGGTAAAGGACCAAAGGGGCTAAAATTATTGCCTTCAAATAGATGACACACTTTTTTTTTTTTTTCCTGGAGATACTGGGGCTTGAACTCAGGGCCACACTCTTGCCCCTTACCAACCCCCACCAGGTATTAACATCATAGATTTCTAATGAAGACATTCCTTATCCTCATCTCTGTAAGAAATATCAAGTTGTAGAATAGTAGGGGAGGAATAGAATACGGTATTTCTCCACAACTGAGTTTACTTTTTATTTGATTGGTTTTAGTTTTTTGTTGTTTTTGAGACAAGTTCTCACTGTCAAGTGTTCTACCACTTGAGCCACTCTACCAGCCCTTTTTTGTGTTGGGTATTTTGAGATAAGGTCTCAAAAGCTATTTACGTGGACTGGCTCTGAGCCACTATCCTCCTGATCTTTGCCTCCTTAGTAGCTAGGATTGCAGGTATGAGCCACCTGCACCAGGCTAGATGACACACTTTTAAAACTTAAATTGTTCAAGTCAATGAAAGAAAGTTAAGATTTTTACAGCTCCTAGTTTGTCTTATAAAATCCTATCACAAGAGTGAAATTTATAGAGTAATTAAAAGCATTTCTCTTCCAGTGATAAGCATTTATTTTTTCCTCTTTTTGATTTTGTTTTTGATGTTCAGCTGAGATACCAGAGAGCTGTAGCTGATTGTGAAAACATAAGGAGAAGAACCCAGAGATGTGTGGAAGACGCCAAGATATTCGGTGAGAGATTTGTTCACAGTAAAATATATTCAGTTAAAGGGCATTTAATTAGCAGATATGCAAACTGAGCATAGTAAAAGTACATCTGGGTACTGAACTGATGCCTCCCATACCCTTCCACTTTTCCCAAGGCTTTCTGTGCTACTTATTTGGAGTGGTATCAAATTAGCCATATGCTAAAATATTGTTGGCCTTTATTTTAACCAAACCTTTGTTTATTTTCTAAGCATGTACAATTATTGCAGTTCCAACATTCTAGTACTTACACAAACAATTGTGTTTAGTTCATTAAAGAATAAGTGAATTGAGAAAGTGATTGGGTGAACCCAAACAGCAGACACATAGGAAGTTGGGAATGCTGAAACTTGCTTAATGGAAGCAAAATTTGTCTATATCCACAGGATGATAGTCAACTGTATTTGCCACCAGAAAGTTTTTAGTGCTGTGTAAGATCAGTACTCTGTAGACAATTATAAAACAGCTTGAAGACAGAGGCTCAGATCACAGAATCACATAACCTTAGAGGGCTTAGAAGTCTTTCAAAATGTTTATTTTATTTAAAAAAAAAAAAAAACTGGCTATTCCTTGAAAATGCCTTTCGGTTTCACTCTTTCCCCACTATTGCCTCCTCTTCTACACCAGACCAAGCCATATCACACCTAGACTACTTCACTTGGCACTCCTATTTTTCCTATCCTTCCTGTTCTATCTGTCATACCCCTGAATCCATTATGTATGCTTCTATTCAACTAATTTGAATCAGGCTTCCACTTGTTTTCCTCATAAACCTCTACTGGATCTCTCACCTGGAAGAAAGAGGTAGATTTCCTTTAGTTTTTCCCTCCCATATAGACAGCAAGTCTCTTCAGTTCTCTCCTGTCATATCTTTTATTACTTGCTATAGCTGATCTTCCTTCTTACCTGTGAGTATGGTTAAGGCAGCTACCTGTTTTGGCACAAGACCTGTCCCCTCACCAGTTCCCGTTGATTATGTCATAGATCTCTAATGAAGACATTCCTTATCCTCGTCCTGGTAGAAAAATCAACTTGTAGTATGAGAAGAGAGGAATGGAATATGGGACTTCTCAACAACTGAGTTTACTTTTTATTTGTTTGGTTTTGGTTTTTTTGTTGTTCTCTGATCCTCCTGCCTCTGCCTCCCTAGTGCTGCTGAGTTTACTTTTTATCTTGTGACAGTTCATGTTTTCTAAAAGATTTTGTGGCCTATTGCTAGCAACTTAATAGCAGGCAATTAGAAACTCGCTTCATCTACAGGTGGATCTTACCTTCTGTTCCTATTTAGCCAGTTCTCGAGGATAAACCACTTGTGGGCTGGGGATATACCTCAGTGGTAGAGTTCTTGCGTAGCATGCACAAGACCTGGTTCCATCCCCAGCAGCACAAACATCACAAATAGAATAGAATAAATCACTCTTTAGCATCCTTAGCATAGTGTTGACTTTATTGTGTTTGTTTCTCCCCACCCATAAAATGTAGTATCTTGTCCCTTTTGAGAATGGCTTTTACACAACTAATACAGGAAGAAATTTTCAAAATGTATATAACTCAATATTTAAAGGTGAATGACAACAAAAATGCAAGAAGCAAAAAAAAAGGGAGGGAGTTGCAGGGGTAATGAGAGCAGTCTAACCAGTGTACAGTGTAAGGCTATTGGGAATTGGCACAGTGAATCCCCTCTATACAATGAATGTATGCTAATAAAAATGAAAAATAAAATAGTTGACTTTTAAAGAACAGGCTGTTGAGTGTAGACTTACATAGTTCTCTTTCCCATTTCTCAGTAGGGTTCCTGATCATATATACTTCTTGAAAGAGACACTGACTTGGCAGTTAAGTTGGGGTGGCAAAGATGATGATTCCTAAATCCTGTGTACCAACCTTCTCAGTTTCTGGGGTACCCACTGTACTGTATTCTAGCTACCTATATGGGTCTGCTCCACACTCCACCCCTAAAGGTAGAGTGATTTTATCACAAACTAAGTGTCTGATTTCTCTGTAGGAATCCAGAGTTTCTGTAAGGATTTGGTGGAAGTGGCAGACATTTTGGAGAAGACTACTAAGTGCATATCTGAAGAAACAGAACCTGAAGATCAGAAGCTCACTCTGGAAAAAGTCTTCAGGGGGTTGTCACTTTTAGAAGCCAAGCTGAAAAGTGTATTTGCCAAGCATGGCCTGGAGAAGATGGCACCTATTGGTGACAAATATGACCCTCATGAGCATGAACTCATCTGTCATGTGCCAGCTGGTATTGGGGTGCAGCCTGGCACTGTGGCATTAGTAAGGCATGATGGCTACAAACTTCATGGCCGCACCATTAGACTTGCCCAGGTGGAAGTGGCAGTAGAGTCTCAGAGACGACTTTGAACAGGCCATCAGGAACTGAACATTCTCCCAGAGTACAGTCACCTGTGTTTCCTTTATTTATTAAACTAGGTTTGTATTGTACATGAGGTACTTCATGTGATCTGTTTTTGGATTTAGTCATATTGGCTTTATTTCTAAGCTATTCTATTGATTTTATGTGACCTATTGGTCTCATCAGAAGTCTTGCCACTGGGCACTTGAACAATGTGACAAGTGTTCTTATGGCCTTTATCAAAATGTGTTTACGAAAATTATTTTTAAATTGGTTCTCTGATGACTTTGAATCCAAAATCCTCTTAAGCATGTATTTTCACATTAATTGGAATTAGTATAGTGTCTTGTATATATTATCTTTTGTGGAAAAGGAAACAATAGGAATTAGTTCTTCATTTGGGTACTTGGATGATAAAGCTTTACACTTGTATAGATGTAGATCATTTGAGTTGATTTTTATATACATAGATTTTCAGAACTTACGTTTTTTTATTATTTTACATTTAGTCATCTTTTATCCTTGTAGTCCTCTGCTAGGGGTCCCTCTTATCTTACTGTCCCATACCTATCCCTTTCTGATCCCATTTGGAAGGGCTAAAGGACCAGGCCAGACTTGGAAGGCAGGTAGCTTTAACAAATTCAAGATACCCCCTTTCCTTTCAGGCCAGTAACTATTTTCAGCCTCCCTGGGTTTATAGTTTCAGGCAAACCAAGGCAGCACCAACAGCTAATGGCCCAAACAAGTCTGTATAGGTAATTACCTGTAGCTCTTCATTCCACCAGACCTGACTCTTCTGCCTCTTTGTTACCTTTGCTTTAGGATTCTATATTAGATTATGAGAAAATGCTAGGTTCTCGTAATTTCTCATCTCATTCTAAGATTTTTGTTTGTTTGTTTTTTCTTTTCTTTAGTTGATACCAATCACTACCTCTCTTACGTTGACAAACTTTTTTGGTTTTTTTGGTGCTGGGGATTGAACCCAGGGTCTCCCACATGCTAGGCAGAACATTCTACCACTGAGCCACACCCCTAGCCCAACAAGCTTTATTTCCTAGTTTGTGTAGCGTAGCCATTGTTAGTCATACTGTATAAACATCTAATTCTGCTTTTATGTATTAACCTCCTAAAGTTAATGGACCTAAGTGGTTTTTGCAGTCTTAACAGCTGGTATTGTGTAAAAGGTTTATCCAGTAAACGACTTAATGAATGGATAATGTATCAGGTAGACTTTAGAAAGAAGGTTAAATAGTATTTTAATGTTAGAAGAGGCCTTAATCTCATCTCAACCTTTCTGCTGCTTCTGAAGTATGAAAATTAAGTCCTATTTAGAACTGGACCCAAAGGGAGAAAGTCTCCAATGACTAAATGTCAGTCTGTAAGAATAAGGAACAAGTATATAGTAAGTTTAGTCACTTAAGATTCATGTACATGCAAATATGTCTTCAGTTGTTAGATGTCCAGATTGCATAGGTTTAAGTTAGCTACCCGTAAAATCCATTTCTGCTGGAACTCTGTGACCCTGTAGGGAAGCAGAAACTGGCTTTCTTCTACACTTCCAGGTTCTTTGGGCTTCAGATTAATTCACACAAGATGGTCTAACAAGAGAAAAATGTACTGTGTTGTGGTATGTACATCTGGGAGTCCTACAAAATAGATTCAAAAAAGGGTCAGATAATTGATGCTTATAAAGTACCCTGAGCTTCTGGGGCTGGGGTGGAGGAAACAAGGATGAATAAAGATGGTCTTGTACAGATAAAAAGGTAACAAAATTTGTCTGGAGCAGCCCTCTTTTGATACAGGTACCTTTGCTAATGTGAGTTTCCTTTCTAGGTGTCCATTTATTTTACAAAAGGACAACTTTTCAGAGCTACTCCTGTGTCTGCAGTTTCCAAGCTCAGTAGCTCCCAAAGAAGTATATTTTGGAGTGGTAAGTTATCTTCTTAGTATTGGTAATTCTAGAACACTACTTAAGATCCTGGTGTCTTAGAATTACCAGTACTGTGGGCCTTACCAGCTCCATCAGATTTAAACACTTAAAACAAGTAGGGCTGGAGGTGGTAGAGCTGTAGGTGGCATTAGGGGAGAGGTCAGACAAGTAAATGTGCACTTTTAAATGTAATAAGACTCTTTGAGCTGGGTGTGGTGGTACATGCCTGTAATCCCCATACTCAGGAGGGTGAGGCAGGAGAATAAAAAGTTCCAGGATAGTGTGGCTACATAGTGAGACCCTGTCTCAAAAAAAGTTTTTTGATTTTTTTTTTTTCTTCTGGCATTCCACTAATTGTACACTGTAAATTTAATTAGCAGTCAAATTCTACAATAGGGATTTGTCCTTTTTGCTTTCACTTCTATGATACTGACAGATGGTAACAATAAGAAAATGAACCAATTAAATTACCTATGTGTGGTTTGGGAATACTAGCTATCGTTACCAGTGAACTGGAATTAACTATAATTTTAGGTACAGAATGTTCTTATTACCTAAAGAGTTTTCTAGTCCTCTCCAACCTCCTGTTTTTGCAAGTAGATTGTGAATAATTTTAGGTTCTTTTATGATTGAGTAGTTTCGCAGACTTAAAGTGTACATTTAAAATTACAAGATGAAGATGTAATAGCAAAAAACTCAACTTGAAGGGCTTAAGGAGCCAGAGCAGCACAGTAGAGTGTAGGCTGGTAGGCATGAACTAGAACGTAAGTCTCAGCTCCGTCACCTCTGTGACTTCTGGCACTAGTCATGTGATTCTTCAAGCTTGTTTATAAACTGGGTATAGTAATTCTCTTACGATACTGTGAGGATTAAGTGAAATGTGTAAATTGCCTACTACAGTAGGCCTCATATTTATTTTTATTGTTTATTCTTAATTATGCACATTGTTTTTCCTGCATTTTTATAGTTGCCTAAAGTCTAGGGAAAAGGGAAGACTGGTAAGTGGTTACTTTAAAAAAAACTTGTAAGCTAGTCATTCACGGTGACTTACTTTCCTTGCAGTTTTGGTTTTGGTTTTGGTTTTGGTTTTAGCCATATCACAAGAAACCCATTTTGAAGGAATAAGAAAATGTGCTCATGCTGTTAATTATTTTTGTCTTGATGGTGAAGTAAAAAAGACCTTGGCTTGCTTTGGCTCACTTGATGGGGAGATTTTGGTGTTTTAGTACTTAGACTCTACAAATCATTTGCTGACTTTCCTTACTGCTAAAAAGGAATCAGTCAGTTTGACATTAATGTAAGTTATTTGGTGCTCTCATTCATTACAAAAGATTTAATAAATGAAGAAAGGGTTTTAAAATGCTGAAGCAAAATCAAAAAGAGGAAACTAAGGATGGAATGTAATATTCAGAAATAACTTTAATAAACTAAATAACTGCAATTCTGGTCGGTTGGTTGGTTTGTAGTGCTGTGGATGGAACTCAGGGCCTTGCATGTGCTAGGCAAGTGCTCTACCACTGAGCTACACACCCAGTCTCAGTGCAGGAGTTTAGTCTTTGCCTGATTTACACATATACTGGTATGTTACAGTCACTTCATTGACTGTGGATGCTGGGGGGAAGTACCTGAGATCTCAGCACAGCCATATGGATGCAGTATTGGCTTTCTACACTATACCTCAGTGTTGAAATCTTGTATGGTTTTCTACCTCCTTGATTTGCCCCTTTCTGATTTCTTATGTCGTTCTTAGACCTAGACTTCTGTTTCTGCCATCTTCTTTAGCACTATCTTGTTTTCTTGTATTTGCGTCTTGGTTCTAGTTGTCTTACCTGCTTTGACTGCTGTATTTGTGTTGGTGGACTCCTGACCATCCTCCTAATGATTCCTAGCATTTGGCCTTAATCTAATCTTCAGTTTCCATGTTCTCAACTTCTGACTGCCTGGCCGTGTCTTTACCTCTGCTTCTCAATTGGTTTCCATGCCCCCAATTCCTGTCTTTGGAGCAAATCTTCCCTGGGATTTGGCCTTGCACTTCCATCATTTTTCCAGGCTTGTCTATAAAACATAATTCTGCAATCCATTGTTACCTATTTCCAGTGTAGTCAATAAATACATTTATTCCCATCCACTCAGGCCTTGGCCAGGCTCTCAGGTTCACTATGGTGGTTTTAAAGTAGAACCAAAGAGTTCCTCGACTTACACACTGAGGATCTATGTCCACTCTTTTTGGAGCTTTATGACTGCCTGATCAACAGGATACGATGAAACTGACACTGCCAGTTTTGGAATCCAAACATTAAAAAACTGGTAGCCCCACATCCTATCTTGATGTTCACACTAGGAATTTAACATCATGCCAAGAACAAGCCACTAAGTTTTTGAGTGGTTTGTTACACATCAAGAGATGACTGATACAGTTTCTCTTGTTATTTCCAGTCCCAGCTAAGTTTATTGTTATTTGTTTTAGCATTTCTGTACAAATTGCACCTCCTTGCTTTTCCTCTTCCCACCACCTCATCAGTGCACACATTATCAGTGGGCTACTAGAATTAGAACTTCCTAGCAGAAAAGACTCCAACATTGCAAAGAGTAAGAAGATGAATTTTTAAGTTAATATGATTTACTCTACAGAAAACAAAAACTACAAGAAACAAGTCAATACATAAGAGAAGTTGGCATCAAATGATCAAATGCTTGTGGCTTTTTAAGAATTCGAGGTATGTCTTGAATCTTTGGAGCTGTGCATTCTGACACAAATGTTTCCAAAAAACATTTTTGAGATTACAAGAAATATATATTTATGTATTAGTAGGGATCCAGTTTGGACCTAGTAAGAGTCACAAAGATGACTTAGAACCCCAGCTACAAGCTCTTACCATTCTCTGGATCCCTTCAGTTTCTTAGCCATAAATAAAGATTTTCCTTATTTATCCTGAAACTCGCTCCTAACTCTATTCCTCTGCCAGAGGAAAGAAATCTGCCCTTCACAGTATTGTAAACTAGCCACACTGAGCTGCCCTTGTTGTCTTGGAGGATGAAAATGGCAGCTTACCTCTTACATTTCTCCTTTCTGAAAAGAGTGAATGAAATCCTTATGTTAAAGAGAGAACTGTATAGATAGAAACTGCAAACACACATGTGAAAAAACTACAGTACGGTACACACAGCCTGTGCACAGGGTAGAGCCCAGTCCGCCTGGCCGCCTGCTTGATCAGCAATTTCCAGCACTTGCAGAATGTGTCAAATCCCAAAAGTGTTTCCCATTTCTTATCTCACATGATCGTCACCACAACCTAAAAAAAATTGAGCGGGGATTATTCCATCCGTTTTATTAAAGTGAAAACAGAGACGCAGAAGGCACTTTACAGAGCTAGTAACTCTCCTCCGACGTTGGACTTCAGTTCTTCCCCTTCAATCCAGCTCCCTGCAGCTGGGACATGGTCCTGATGCTGAGGTCCGGAAAGCGCACACACCTGCGCCGGGCAGAATGAGCCAGCCAATGAGGAGCCCGCATCCGGAAGGCGGGACGGGGAGGCCGCCAATGATAAAGCCCTCTCGTAGAGCGATGTAGCTAATGAGGGCCTCGAACTGAAGAGGGACGTCTGCTCGGCCAATGAGAGGCTGGCAGGCGGAACGGTCAGTGGGGCTCCAGGGCGGGGCGGGGAGCGAGCGCCGAGCCCCAGCGTGCTTCCCTGGTCGCCGCCCGCCATGGCTCGCGCTGCCCTGGTCCTCGCTGCCTTGGCCCCGCTCCTCGTCGTCGCAGCTGCGGGCGGAGACGCCCCGCCGGGAAAAATCGGTGCGGGAAGGACGGGGGGGTGAGGGGCGAGCCGAGCTGAGGGGAAGGCTGGGCGGGAAAAGGGTTTGCAGCTGGCTGGGGGCAGGGGAGGACAGGTCGGGGAAGGAGTCGTCTTCGGGAGACGAGCTGGGTGGAGGAGAGGCGAGGAAGGAAACCTACCGCAGTAGGAAAGGTGCTGATGGGGAGGGGGGCACCGGCATGTGAAGGCCACCTGGAGCGCTGGGCAGGACTGGCCACTGATCTCGCCGGAAGGTGCAGGGTCACCGGGCATCTGCAGTGGATGTGGCTCTTGGTTAGGCGCGCGGGTGGCAGAGGACAGGAGCAGGGCGATGGCGTTCACAGTGGTCTTCTGAAGGCCGTCCGTGCACCAGGCAGAGTGCTGTATGTAGTTCCTGCTCGGAGGCGCGACCTCCCGAGACGGGAAGCCCGTTCAGGGCTGAGAAAGTACCGTGCGTTCCGAGCGAGGACGCTTCACCTCGGCTTTGCCGGCTCAGAGAGCGCTTCCGACAAGTAAAATCCAAGCCAAAACTTGCGGTCGGTAGGAGACAGTTGCAGAACAATAGGTCAGCTAGAGATCGATTTGCTGGATGATAAGAGTAGGGAACATCCACACGCACACACTCCGTGCTGGAGATAGAGCCCAGGGCCTCAGGCATGCTAGATACACGCTTCACCACTGAGCTGTGTCCCCAGTGGGAACTTTTTAACAGCAGTCACATTTCTTTATTATTTGTGTGATTTTCCCAATATTGTAAAAAATTTCAAACATGCAGCGAAACTGAGAATTTCACAGTGATCATCCGTAAGCCCTCCACTTAAACTGCCATTCATTGCTGTTCTTCTTGCTTTATCACATATGTCCTTCTAGCCATCCATCTTACATTTTGATTCATTTCTGAATAAATTGCAGATACCAACACATCTTGCTAAATACTTCTTTGTGCCTGTCATGAAATGCAGCTCCATATTTGTTCGTTGCTTTTTTCCCCCTCTTGATGATCATTTTAAGCTGGGCACTGGTGGCACACACCCATAATCCTAGCTACTCAAGAGGCAGAGATCAGAAGGATTGAGTTTCAAAGCCAGCCCTGGGCAAACAGTTCGTGAGACCCTATCTAGAAAAAAACCCATCACAAAGAAAGAGCTGGCAAAGCGACTCAAGTTGTAAGAGCACCTGCCTAGCAAGCATGAGGCCCTCAGTTCAAACCCCAGTGCTGCCAAAAAAATAATAATAATTATCACTTTAACTCTACATGACTGACCCAAAGATGCTGGGTTTCCGTTATGGGAGGACAGAGTCTCAACTCTTACCAGGCTGCCCTCCAGTTGGCAGGGATGCCTTGGGATGTCTCATGGGAGCACCACAAATTTACCAGGGCCAGGGCAGGGCTAAAGTTTATTATGCTGGAAAGCCATGACCAGGCCATAAAGGATTAAGATAGACTGAAGCATGCTGGAAGTGAATTTGAGACAGTTCATGAAAGAGAATCCTGAGGAGTAGAGTGGCTGGAATATGCGGATTTTGAGCCAGGCTTGAAAGTGTAAGGAAACATAGGCCCCAAAAGTGACCACGTGGAGAGGAGTGATCTCGCCAAGAGATTCTTTATTGCTGGGTGGGAGAGGGAGGGAGCAGAGAGCCAAGAGAGAGAGGGAGAGAGGAGCAGGGGCTTAAATACCCCTCAGTGGGACTCAGCATGATCTGATTGGTTAGGATCTTATGGTTCATGCTGATTGGAGGTTGGGGCAGAAGGAGGATTCAAGCTAGACTTGAGGCAGGACCATGACCCTGGAAAACAGAAGCTTAAGGGTGCAGTAAGAACTGAAACCTACCAGCCCATTATTGCCAACAGAAAGGATGGGGAAGAGTTAGGCAGGCAGTGATTAGGGTATAGAGTATTCTTTCTCCTGGGAATGGGCAGTAGGGCAGGACTTTTACCATTGGTTTTTGGGGGAAAGGGCAGGGCCTCCTTGCAGCAGGAGTGTCTGGCAATACAAAGCTTGCTACCCACCTCCTAGCTGGCCTCATCCTCCTTGCTGAAGTTATCCAGAACAGGACCAGGCAAGGCCAGGTTGCCCTTTAGCTTTCCTGATTTTCCTCAGCCCTCTGGCAGGAGCCTCTGTCCACTCTTGGTGGTTTCAGCTCTACCCAGATGGGAACAAGGAGCTTCCTGTTAAGATAGTTGATCCTTGGACTCCTTCAGGATCCAATCTGAACACCTCAGAGTGGCCTGAAGATCCTTTGAACCCACCATACAGTTACATACACTGCCCTGCTCATGCTGTTCTCTGCAGAGCAGGTGGTTCCTCTCACTGGCACAGCCAGTTGTCCTCGAGGGTCCTGACCAAATGTTATTTCCCCTAGGAAGCCTATGTCCCTGCACACTCACAGGCAGAATCCATTGCTTCCTCCTTGGGGCTCCCTGAAACACTGTTGTCCTACTTTGTCACAGATTGTCGTAGCTGATTGTGCGTGAGTCTGTGCCCACTGACTGCCTAGGTTCCTGAGGACAGAAGCCCTGTTTGGTTCAACTTTGAGCCCCGGTATGTCATGTCATAGTGATATGACGTCTTCCCTACAGCCCTGGGGTGGCTTAAGGCCTTGAAATGTAGGTATCGCTGGAGAAAATGGGACTCTGTTTGCAAATGTAGGGGAGGGCAACCGAGTGGTTAAGAAAAGAGTAAGGACACTCTTGAGCGAGGCTGTGTAAATGCTGAGGAAAGAGGGGTGGTTATTCTTTCAACATTCAACAAATACTTCATGCACTCTGCCTGCTAGCATCTGAGGACATGGTAATGACCCTGCTCCCTCTTGGTCCTTAAACTATTTGAATACAATGTGGCAAGGATAGGCCAGAGATAAACAGAGTCTGGGGCTTCAACACAAAGGAAACCTACTCATCTTAGGTGGCTCAGGTAAGCCAAGCTAAAGGTGACAGTTGAGGGCTGTAGAAGTCAGAGAGGCCCAGGGTCACAGATAACATTCCTGATAAGAGGAGCAGCTCAGGCAAAGGCCCAGGTGGAGAAAGAAAAGGCAGCTGGGTACCACACTCTTAAGAAGGTGGGCCAGACCAGGAGGCAGAGTGTGGAGGGGAGGGCAGAGAGGAGACTGGGTTATTGGAGGCTGATTCTCAAAGAGCCTTGTATTCTCTGAGGATTACTGCCACTTCTTGACCGGAGCTGGTGTCTCAGGGTCCAACATGAGTGCAGTAAGGATACATGATTGATGCCATTTTCTTTTTGGATAGTATTACTAGACTGTCCAGATGAGAGGAAAGCAGTGTTTGAGATATATGGTAGGCAAAATCACTTGTACAGTGATGGCCCAGCTCAGTAGCTTCATAGCTGGTTTGCTCTCCTCCCTTGGAGCTATTCGATGATTAGTATCTGTCTAGACAGCAGTTCCTAGTAGCATCTCAGAGCTCTGTCCAGTGAATTGTTATTATCAGTGATTTTGATGAGAATACTGATGGCAAGTCAACCGAGTTTGCAAAGAACAGGAAGGCAGGAGGTGTGGTTAAAAACAGTGGATGATAAGATCCCAAAAAATGTCAATAAGCAAAAATCGTAACAACAGTCCAGATTGGAATCCAGGGCCCTATAAGGTCACAAGCAGCCCATCACAGGGTGCATTCCAGTCTTGGCCAACACAGACGTAGAAATGACTTAAGAGTCAGGTGGTAGGTTGGACTTAAACCAGAGGTTGGCAGACTTTTTCTGTAAAAGGCCAGAGAGTAAATATTTTAGGCTTAACAGACCGTTCAGTTTCTGTTGCAGTTACTCAACTCTGCCTAGCATGAAAGTAACCATAGACAGTAAAAGAAAATGTATGGCTATGTTCCAATAATACTTTGTTGCCAGATATAATGGCACTCTGAAAGCTGAAGCAGGAGACTCACTTGAGCCAAGACCAGACTGAACAGCATAGTGAGATCCTGTCTCAAAAAAAAAAAAGGCGTGCCAATAAAATTTGGCTGGGGGGGAGTGGCTCAAATGGTAGAGCACCTGCCTAACAAGCATAAGACTGAGTTCAAACACCAGTACTACAAAAAAATAAAATGAATAAGTAAAAAACTTGGTTTACAAAAATAAGCATCTGCCTAGTATGACTCTGGCCTGCAGGCTATAGTTCACTGACCCCTGGAGTTATGTATAAAACTAAATTTGTTCTTTTTAAATGATTATCCTGAGTTCAGAGATTTTTTTCCTGCCCTTTCCCTGCTAAAGTGTCTTTTTATTTTATTTTCTTTCTTCCTTTTTTTTTTTTTTTTTTTTGTGGTGGTGGGGTTTGAACTCAGGGCTTTTCCCTTTCTAGGCAGGTGCTCTGCCACTTGAGCCATACTCTAGCCCTGTCTTTTTCTTTACAAAATGAAAGTAACAGTAGGTGGTAGTCTTCAAGTTGGCCTTTGCTCACGAGTCCTAGGTCTACTCAAAACTCATACTGCAAAATTCCTCTTTGAAATGTCATGAACCTGTAAAGGTAACCCACAGCCTCTCCTGTGCTGTCCCTCCCTGCCTCCTGGGCCTGCTGACAGCCGTGGTTGGGGCTGGGATTGGGGGCTCTGCCGTGGCCCATTTCCTCCAGCAGCACTTTGGACCCCGGGTGCAGATCGACGTGTACGAGAAGGGAACTGTTGGTGGCCGCCTGGCCACCATCTCAGTCAACAAGCAACACTATGAGAGCGGGGCAGCCTCCTTCCACTCGCTGAGTCTGCACATGCAGGACTTCGTCAAGCTACTGGGTGAGTATTCCCCAGGGCTGGCAGCAGCCACCAGGCCCTTCCCAGATTGCCCATACCTTCGAGGCCAGATGGTTATGTAGCCCAATCTCCTCATTTTACAGATGGAGCAGCTGAGACCAGAGAGGGGAAGGAACTTGCCTGAGGTTACACAGTGAGTTAGTTGCAGAGCCGGAACTAGAACTCAGGTTTGACTCCCAGGCCAGTTCTTTCCCTTTCAATTTGCTGTGATCATATCAGCATCCACATTGCTGGTACCTGCCTAACACCGTGCTAGGTGGTACGGGGCATTACCTCGAGGCCTCTTTAGCACCGCCTTTAAGGAAACTGTGGCTCAGGAAATTGACAGATTTCAGCTAAACCCACACAGCTAGGAAGTGAGAGATCTGTGAGTCAGACCCTAGAGCATCTGTCAAAACCACACACAGGCTGTTTGCTGCAGAAATCCCACCTCTCAGAAGTGATCCTGTAGGTGGTCTTGCAGATGTTCAAAGTGGATACATCCAAGCTCATTCATTCTAGCATTGTTTGTAATAGCAAAAGGTTGAAAGTATCCTCTTTTGCCATCTCCTGGAAGCTGGGGTTAAATACATGACCTGTGAGTATACACAAGGCTTTCTGTGGCCAGAATGGGAAAGTCCATTGTAGCCAGATAGAGAATAATCTCCAAGATCTGGGATGTTGATACAGTGCAGAGCAGTGTCTATAGGATGTGGGGGTGGGGAAGGACAAGATCATGGCCAATACATGTTGAGTCCAGTGCTCTATAAGTTACTGAGTGCTGGATAGGCAGAAGGAGCTATGGTTATTTCCATGTAATCTTGGGTCCTGATTTGCCTCAGGAAGGTCCTGAATTTAAACCAGGCCTATTAGGGTGGGGTGGGGGGCTCTGAAGGGGACCTGAGGGCTGCTGGTCTCTGCAGGGCTTAGGCAGCGGCGCGAGGTGGTAGGCAGAAGCGCTATCTTTGGCGGGGAGCATTTCGTGCTGGAGGAGACCGACTGGTACCTGCTGAACCTCTTCCGCCTCTGGTGGCACTACGGCATCAGCTTCCTGAGGCTGCAGATGTGGGTGGAGGAGGTCATGGAGAAATTCATGAGGTAGGGCTGGGCTGAGCTGAGCTGCAGGAGGGCATTCCAGGGGGGAGAGAAGAAGCTTGGGAAGGTGCTGCTGGACTGTAAACTGTGAAACAGAAGGTGGTACCTGGTGGATATAAGTGCCCAGCACAACTTAGTGAAGGCTCAGAGCCTGAGCAGTGGCCTCATATGGGGTGGGACTGGTGCCGTTGGCATTATGGCACAAGTCTTCAGTCTTTCCCTCCACTGAACTGATGACAACATGGGTTGCAAACTCACTCACCTACGATGGCAGAAGTGGGATGGGAAAAGTGAAGCAGCCAGGTGGGAGAGAACAGGGATGTTGGGTGACCTGAGGAACCAAGCCATCTCAAAGAGGCAACCAGGCACACCGCTGAAGCCCTCTGTGGCCAGCCATGTGAAAGTTCATGTAGCTAGATCTTCAGTTTTCAGACTGGAAGCTGGAAATTGTAAACTTTGCCATCCCCAGTTTTTGCATTAGAACAAACTCCTCTCTACCACTTCTCTCCTCCTTGGGTGCCAGCCCTTCTCCATCACCTCCAGGTATGGAGGACTGGTGGCCTATGCCTACTCCATACTCACACACCAAGCAGCCCTGGCCCCTCCTGCAAGATCTCCCTGCCTCCCAACACCCTGGGCAGAGGCTGCTCCTCTGGCCCCTGCATTGTCTCCCTCTCTTCAGTGTCAGATGTTCAAGCATTATCCCTTCCCTGATTTCTGGCACTTCTCCACTCCCTTCCCACTCTCTAGCTGCCATACAAATATGGCACTTCTTTCTTGTATTCTCCAGATGGTTTTTTTGCAGTACTGGAGTTTGAATTCAGGGCCTATACCTTAAGCCACTCCACCAGCTCTTTTTTTGGTGATGGGTTTTTTCAAGCTAGGGTCTCGAGAACTGTTTGCCTAGGGCTTGCTTCAAACTTCGATCATCCTGCTCTCCGCCTCCTATATAGCTAGGATTGCAACCACGAGCCGCTGGCACCCAGTGCCCCTCCTTTTTTCTTACACTTTTCTCTCGTCAACTTTATGTGGACCCTCAGTGCTGACTTCTCTTGGTGATAGGAGATAACTTCCTCCTGCCAGCTCATTTCCCTTCCATTCCAGACCCACATTTTCAGCTCTCTGGACACCTCTATCCCACGTCCCATTGAAAATCAAATTCAGCATGCTTACACAGCAGCCCCAGAATAAGTAGCATTTCACAGGATGCATGTGTGGATGGTTCCAGTCCCTGCTAGTCCTGGGCACTGGGTGAATGGGAAAGGGACAAGCCATGAGTTTGAAGTAAGTGGGGGCCCTGCCAGATCAAGGTCAAGGGGAGGACTGTAGTGGCATGAGGTCCAGTGTGGTCCAAGATGCCAGGGCAGAATGAGGATGGCTGTGGATTGTCATTTAAGACAGGGAGTGGCTCAGAGAAGCTATGTAGTTGGCATTCAAGGGAGCTGTGATGTGAAGCCGGGTTTGTGGGATTCCGGAGAACTTGCCCCTATCTCCATGCTGCCCCTCTAGGAGGGACAGGCCCATCACCACCACAAAACAGGCCAAGGGGAACACAATCAGCCTCCTCTCCCAACCCATACGTAGAGGAGGTGGCAGGTCCCTGGTGGGCCCTCCAGGTCCACAAGGACCCCATGATGGGTGGTCAGCCAAAAGGCCTTTTTGCACAGGAACTCAGCTCGCTGTGTCTTCTAGGATCTACAAGTACCAGGCCCACGGCTATGCCTTCTCAGGTGTGGAGGAACTGCTGTACTCACTGGGGGAGGCTGCCTTCATCAACATGACCCAGCGTTCTGTGGCCGAGTCCCTGCTCCAAGTGGGTGTCACACAGCGCTTTATTGATGATGTCGTCTCTGCCGTCCTGCGGGCCAGCTACGGCCAGTCTGCAACAATGCCCGCCTTTGCTGGTAAGTATCCAGCTCTCAGCTAGCCTGCCTGCCCTACCGCTGCCAAGAATGAGCTGAGGTCCCTGTGACAACCTCACATCTGTCCCACTCATTGTGCTGCCTTAGCACTTTGTTGCTCCTTTCTTTTATTCTGGCATCAGTGCTCCAAGTTGGCAGCACAGTATTTACTCCCACTTCACCACGGTGGAAGGAAAGCTCAGGTGGGGATCTAATGTGTATCCTCTACTCCTGATTGTCTGCTAATCTCTTCCGCTTGCTAAGTGTCAGAGTTGATGTGGTGCCTTACTGTCCACAGTTTGAATTCAAGAACTGCACTGCTGACACTCTGATGTTCATCTACTTGTCACCTTATATTCCCAGCTCATTACTAGAATGGATGGGTATGCATGTAGCCCACCATTCTCCCACATAGGCTCCCACAACAGAGAATGTAGGCTTCACAAGAGGAGACTCTTGCTGTCTTGTGTCCACTGCTCCACCCTAAACACTGGGAAAAGGGTCTGCACCATGCTAGGCACTTGGTGTGCTTTTGATGAATAAATGAGAGGGTGTGTGTCAACTAGCACCTCTCACGTCCCCAAGATACTCATCCTGTGGTCCCTTCCCAGTCTTTAGGTCCTGCCTCAGCATCTCCACAGTGTGGCCTCCCTGTTCACTCTTCCATTGTCTTGTGTGTATCCTTCATAGCATGTCTGTACTGAGATGTAGTTTACCTACCATGGAATTCTCCCATTAAAGTATTGAGTTCTGTGGTTATTAATATATTCAGAGTTATGCAACCATCACTGCGATTTTAGGACATTTTTATCACCCCTAAAAGAAACTCCATACCCTTTAGCCATCAGCTCTGCAGTATCTCTAGCCTTCCAACCCTGGACAGTCACAGATCTGTCAGTGTCTGTGGATTTGCCCATTCTGGGGCATCCTATGGAACAAAATCAGACACTATGTTGTCCTTTGGAGCTGGCTGTTTGACTAAGAATCACCTTTGCCCTTCACTGTGTTGTGGACTTGGTTGTATTTTTTTGTGTACCTGTAGTCTCCCTGTGCCCTGGCTGGGAGGACCAGGGAGAATAGTGTTGGGCTCTCCAGCTTTACTACCCAGTGGTTTGAGAACCCACCAGCCATCCATCCCATTTTGTCAGGAGCCATGTCGCTAGCTGGGGCCCAAGGTAACCTGTGGTCGGTGGAAGGGGGCAACAAGCTGGTGTGTTCCGGTTTGCTGAAGCTCACCAAGGCCAACTTGATCCATGCCACAGTGACCTCTGTGGCTCTGCACAGTACGGGTGAGTGGACAGAGCAGCGGGTGTGGCCACGCCATTCCTAGCCAGCCCTACAGTTTCTTCTGCACCTCTACCCTGGTCTATGCTGAGCTGGGGAGCATTTTCCAAAACAGTAGTGTGAAGGTTCATTGACACTAGAGGGCGCTGTGGCCATGAGTCAAATGTCAGTGTTAGGAAGCTGAGTCTTCCATTAATCAGGCCTTGATCCTTTGATCAGTGAGGACGTTGAGTGCAGCCTTGCGAAAGCTCCCTCAGCTAATCAGCAGAACCAGAGGAAGAACTTAAGCCTTCTGACATCCTGTCCAATGCCTGCCCTGCAGCCACCCTACTATGGAAAGATGGGGACCGGCATCATCTAGACAGCTCAGCCGTCCCCAGTGCTGGGCCGCAGGTGGGAGGTCAGTGGGTAGAAGCCAAGGAAGAAGTTGACCTGTGTGTGTTCTCTTTTCTGTCTTTCCAGAAGGGAAAGCCTTGTACCAGGTGGGGTACGACAGTGAGATGGGCAGTGGCTCCAACTTCTACGACATCGTGGTCATCGCCACACCCCTGCATCTGGACAACAGCAGCAACTTCACCTTCGAAGGTTTCAACCCACCAATTAGTGATGTCCAGGGCTCTTTCCAGCCCACCGTCATCTCCTTGGTCCACGGCTACCTCAACTCTTCCTACTTTGGTTTCCCTGACCCTAAGCTTTTCCCCTTCGCCAATATCCTTACCACAGATTTCCCCAACTTCTTCTGCACACTGGACAACATCTGTCCTGTCAACATCTCAGCCAGCTTCCGGCGGAAACAACCCCAGGAGGCAGCAGTCTGGCGAGTCCAGTCTCCCAAACCCCTCTTTCGGACCCAGCTGAAGACCCTCTTCCGTTCCTATTACTCAGTCCAGACAGCTGAGTGGCAGGCCCACCCTCTGTATGGCTCTCGCACTGGCTTCCCAAGGTTTGCGCTCCATGACCAACTCTTCTACCTCAGTGCCCTGGAATGGGCAGCCAGCTCCGTGGAGGTGATGGCCGTAGCTGCCAAGAATGTGGCCTTGCTGGCGTACAATCGCTGGTACCAGGACTTGGACAAGATTGACCAAAAGGATTTAATGCACAAGGTGAAGACTGAACTGTGAGGGCTCCAGCTAGACCCCAGGAATTTTTGCGCCACACTGAAGATGTGTCAGCAACCCAAGGTTGGCAAAGCCACGTTCACCTGCCCAGCCACTCTTTCTGACCCCTCTTGTGTCAAGCATCTTTTTCCTTCAGTGTGGGTCCAGGTGACCCACTCTCTGCCTATCTGTCTTAAGGCTCCTCAGAAGGGTTACTTTTTAAGGGAGAAAGTAAGAAAAGAAGGGAAATTTGGGGTGGTTTTTGTTTTGTTTTGTTTGTTTTTTAAGAAGAAATAAAAATCATCTTCCCAAGCTGCTTTTGATTTGGTTTTCTAACTAGGAGCCAGGATGACTATGGGAGGGAGTGTAAGGCAGAGAATTCTGAATCTAATCTCTTTTCGGTGTTCCCTACCTACTTCCAGAATGTAAAACCTATAATAAAACATTGAGCACCAGGTAGTTACAAACAGTAGAAGGGAAGATCAGAAAACCTATAGCCCCTGTTTGCTATGGGGCGACTCAGTCTGAGGCATCTAGTTCAGAACTGACGTAGACACCCTCTCTAGGCCTCCCCAACAACACTACATTGAGGGAGATGACTGGTGGGACCGGAGGAAGAAACCTTTACTCCACGTTGCCATCAGTGTAGTTCTGAGCTTCCTGGAACCTGTGGGAAAAGGCAACAAACTAGGCTATAGAAAGAATGAAGTTTTTCTTTGGTACCCAGGGGAATTGATTGTTCTGTTCCATATGCAGGGGTTGAGGAATAACATGACAGATCTGTCTTACAAAGGAGACAAGTCCCTAGATGGTGGAGAGCACTCATACTCCATCCCCAAACATCCCAGCAGAGGAGAGGAGAAGTGGAGTTCACAGGTTAATAATCTCATGCTTTCTCCTTTGACACTAGCTAGACTGGAGAGGAGAACTGTGCATTGCTTTTTCTACAGACCTTTAAAGAGCAGTAGTTTTAACAAAAGGAAGTAAAAAATTATCTTTATTCCTTTTGTGCCTGTGCCTTTCTGTAAAGGGAGTGAGTGGAGAAATGGAGCCGTCAGCACCCAACAAGGATGATTGATGGGCCAGCCACCACATCTGAATCTCCTGGAGAAGGGAGAGAGCCTGAAAGTGCAGATGCCCAGTCCCACTGGGCTTTAGGTGAGGGGCCTGGGTCCCTAGAGGAAACAATGCCAAATGGTACCAATACTTTGGCTTTCCCAACAGAAACAATCCTGGAGGTCACCTTGCAACTTCCCTCTCTTTCTTTTTTCCTTTCACTTTTTTTTCTTTAGATACACAGAAAAGCCCAAGATGAGGAAAATAACTTGCCGTACATCTTCTGGTGATTTCATAGAACAGCTCAAATCCTTAGCTTCTCATTCAAATTAATTGAGTTTGGCTAGAAACAAAATAACCTACTGCCTAGTGGGAACCCCAACTGGCTCTGAAGTTCTCTGTGCCCAGACTCACAACAGTGGCAATGAAAGAGATAGAGTCTTTAGCGCACAAACAGCATGCGTCTGTTTTCACAGAAGCTGAGAAACTGACACATCAGAAAGATGGCATTTGGTTGAAGTAGAGGAAAACTAAACTTAAGTTGACTTCGGCAATACAGGTGTTACTGGTTATCATGACTTAATGTCCAGGCACAGAGAACTGTACAGTCCCCAGCTGTTACTTTTCTTACAGCCAAAGATGGCTGCCAACAGCTCCCCAGGTGAGAAGTCCTCCCACAACCACTGAACCAAATTCTAGGCCCTAGGCCAGTTGGACCACCCTGAGCCAATTCCTGTGGCTACAGAAGTGCCATGTAGTGATTGGCTTGGCACTCAAATACCAGACCAATCACTGTGACACAGGGGATTAGATTACATTGATTGGCTTAGAGCAGAGGTGGTCTTACCCAAAGGTCAAGGGAGAAGAGGATTGGAGAGTGCCTAAGTGTCAGCCACATACAGAGGGGCCCATGCCTTCCCCACTCTCAAGTTCAGTAAAATCAGTGTACGATGGCATCTTTTTATGGGCTTTGTTTGAAATGAATGGGACGGGCTGTCATATGTCATTGATTACTATTGTTGAGCCAGAGGATGAAGGACAAAACATATCCCTGATAACTACCCCTTCCTTGTGTCTCTAAGCAGGGAAAGGCACAGCCCAGAGCAGCTACATTTGGTCCTCAATCCTCGGCTGGGGCTTTGGCTCCAGGCCCAAGCACGAAGTGGAGCTGGCTGCATCCTTCAGAAACCTCCTTTACCTGGGTGGGCAAGCTCAGACAGCTCCGAGCCACAGCCAGCCAGCATGCCCACAAGGCCTGCTTCCCCAGACTAAACCTGAAAGCGAGGTTTCCTGCAGGCAAGAAGGGGAATGAGAGCCAGCAGAAAGCTTTGTCCCAAAGCCCACCCTGGCCTTCTCAGACCATAGCAGAAGCCCCCAGAGGCTCACAGACTGCTGAGAGAAGGGAGAGCATTTGCAAAGCAAGCCTGTCAAACAAGAAAGGGACCAACCTCATCCGCTAAATGTAGTGGACATTTAAAACCCTTCACAGAAACTCTGCCTCTGAGAGCAAGAGACCAGAGCGAAATTTCAGCACTAGGGGGAGGAAGGGACCACTGTGGAAGGTAAGTTATGGGGTAGACAGGGAAGGAAGGCCATCCTCACACCCACCCATGAAGGAGCACTCACAGGGAGTAGGGGCAGACCTTGGGTTCCCCCAGGGACCTTTGCATTCATTTGCAAGCACCTTCATAAGCATTGCACCCCATTCTGCTCTTGGCATTGGGCCAGGTGCTGGAGGTGCAACACTGAGCCCAGGGGTTGAGGCCCCCATCCCATGAAGTGGGAAACAGAAAACACATTTAGACTCAGAGCAAAGGAAGGTTCTAGGGTGACATGTAGACCCTGTTCTCAACCCAGCTGCTGCCAGCCCAGGCTCATGGGATCACAGAATGGTGAGAGTGGAAATTTAGTGGTCCCTAAATCCTGTCATCTGGTCATTCCACAGGTGAGGAACCAGAGCCCAGAAAGAGGAAAAGGTGTCATCCAAGTATAACTGGCTTTTTTTTTTTTTGGTGGGACTGGGGATTATAACTGACTTTTATTGAGCATCTCTGGGGCCCTTGATGCTCTGGTGGAAAGACTGCCCCTTCTCACCATGGAGAGGTCCCTCCATCCCTATGCCCCCAGGGTAATTGTGCAAGGCCAGGACTAGTCTCAACCCTCCAGCAGCTCAACTTTTCCTACACCTTCACTCCCAAAAGGCCTTGGCACCTCATGCCCTTTATGTAGGCCTAAGTCTTGAGAGCTGAAGATCACAGGGCTGGGGGTGTAGCTCAGTGGTGACAGCGTGTGCTTAGCATTCATGGAGCCCTGAGCTCTATCCCCAGCACTGAGGGGGAAGAAAAGACCAGAATAGCTATCTGGGGAGAGAGGGCGTGGATCTTAGAGATGGGCAACCCCCTGAGGGAGAAGTGACTGCTGCAGGGATCAGCACCGGCTGGCACATGAAGTTTATTTTCCATGTGTCTGGAACCAGGCCGAAGCTTCCTGAGTAATTTTAACCAGTATCCACTCTAGAACAATACCAAAAAAGGTAAGTTACTTACTAGGGGCACATACCTAACCATTGGTTTTTCATGAATAGACCCTTAAAACATTCAGTGCCGAGGCTGCTGTGACCACAGAAGCTTGGGCAGCCAAGCAAAGTATTCCTGCATGGGGCTATCAGCCCCATGGAAGTTAACTCCAAGTGCTAGCTATTCTCACCCTCAGAAAATAGCCAGAGCCCCTCAGCTGTCTTGGGGGACAGAGGGTATTTTTAGATCCTAGGACAGCTGATTCAGACTTGCTGGGAGGTTAAGAGGGCCCAGGGGGAGGATTGAATTGCTAGGGGCTAAAGGGGGAAGCAGAGTTAGCATCAAGGGGCAAGAGCCAGCATGGGCATTAAGACAAGTCCTTCTGAAGTGTTTTGAGATAAGCCAGTGCTTCCCAAAGTGTGATCCCAGACCAGTATCAGCAGCATCAACAGGAGCCACTCTAGTGAAAAGAACCCAATGCATAAGAATGAAAAATATCAAAAAAAAAAAATGCAAAATATTAGTCCTCACTTAAGTCAGAACATCTAGATGTGGGGCCCACCAGTTGCCTGAACAGCTCTGCAGGTGTAACTAATGCAAGCTGAAGTGTGAGAACCACTGGTACCAACAAATCAGCTAACCAGGTGGTTAGAATGGTCTATACTGACACCTCTCAAGCTCAAGTGACTATTCAAAGCTGGGATTCCTTGCCCCAGAAAAAAACATGTAAATGACATGAAGCCTTAGGGGGTTGATGGCCCAGGTGGAAAATGCCTGCTTTTTAGCAACCTGGACAGCCGCCTTCTCACCCAATTTTGATCTGCAGAGAAGCTGAGACAAAATGGATCATCTGTGGCAACCAGAAAGGCTCAGCCCTACCTTAACGCTGTCAGTCACCTCTTCAAAGGAGCTAGGTGCCTGAGTGGTGTTAGTTCTTGTTAACTCCCTATTGGTTTACACTACCCAAGCTTCAACAATATGGCTGAATTACAGATTTGTGAACCCAAATTAAAGGAGGTCTGCCACTGTTCAAAATGGTAGAAACGGTGGCAGTATTTTTAATAGCCTATGTCAGTGTTGGAGAACCAAGAGTGATGGAAACTGCCTCCCAGAGGTCTCCAGCCCTCCTCCAGATTTGGCTTCCGAGCCACAAGGAGCAAACCCAAAGCCTTGATTTACAAAGGACAGCGTTTACTTTTCATTAGCCTTGCGTGGCACTGAGGTGCGGGGAGGGCGGTCTCCGCCGCGGCCTGGCTGCGGGGTGGGCTCAGAAGATGCAGGTGCAGCCGACTGCGATGGTCTCCATGACAGCGCGCTGGCGGCAGGGTCCCGGGCGCGGGGGCGGGGGACAGAGGCGACGGCGCACTGGCACCTGGCTGAACACAGGCACGCTCACCATGCTGCGGTCCTCCTGCATGGTGAAGGGGTTCACGCAGCCCAGACACAGGCACCGCGCTTCGGGCAGGTCCACGGGGATGCGGCTGGGGTCGTGGTTGATGCTGCCGGGAGCGAGTGAGAGAGAGCGTGGGGTGAGGGTGGTCCAGAAAGAGAAAATGGCAAATGGTGCCTTCCCCACGTGATTCTCACGGCAAGACTGCGGCACTGGAGGAAAGGCAGGAATCACTCCTCGTTCCCAGTGAGGAAAGGAAGATCAGGAAGGCAAGTCACTGCCCCATGGTTTAAGGTCACCAGCTTCCTTCATTCATCCACCACGATGCTCACCCCGGTACTAGATTGTACTGTGGGGACCACAAAGAAACCTAAGCTTCCCTCCACCTACCCCACTCTATTTTTATACTTTGGGGGAACTTGATCTACAGAAATAAAATGTGATGCCTAATTCCCAGGGAAGAGGAGTCAGATTCTATTATGATTGAGTCTCCAGTGACTCAACAAGTTGTTTTGTTTTGTTTTGTTTTTGGTGTGGTTCTACCATTTGTGGGCCCCAGCCTTCAGCAGTTCTGTCCTAGACTTTAGGTGGTCAATAATGAACAAACCAGCTGAGCCCTTCCTGGTGTTCTCATGGAACCGAGCACATAGGACTTGCTGTAACCTTTCCTTCCTTGTGTCTCAGTTTCCTCTTCTGTTATAGATGAACTGGACCTGTGAACATGCAGCATGGCCTGTCCTTATTATGCTTGGGAGCATGTTAGAAATGAATGCAGAACCTCCTGAATCACAGCCTGTGTTTTTACAAGACCCCGGAGAGATTCCTGGGAGCAGTAAAGTGGGGAAGCCAGGCTCTGGAAGATCCTTGCTGACTCTCGCCATTGCCGCTTTCCAGGGCTGTGCTGTCTAATGCAATGACCACTGGCCACATGTGCCAGCTTAAGTCAACCAAAATTAGCCCTTCATTTGCTCATCTGAGGCCAGTGGCTGCTATATTGGACCTTACACCATCACAGAAAATTCTCGTCAGCGTTGCTATTCTAGGGTCCCAGAATATAAGTTGTGTGGCTAGAAATCTTTGATGTGAGTTTGTGAGTGAGAACCCTTCAGAGTCAGCTGTTTATTTATTATTCAACATGTATACATTTGGTACTTACTGGTGCTAGGCACTGAGCTGAGAGATGGAACTGGAACCAGGTCAGACACTGCCTTGTCACCTAGGACAGGGTGATTCCCAAGTGCAAACCTGTCTGTGTGCCCTAAACATATGGAGGTAGGTAGACTACCACGCTGTAAGCCTCATCCGTGGAGACTGTGACCCGGTGAGGCATAGGAACCCTTAGATGAGTCTGATGCAAGCATCAGGAAGGTCCCTGTCTGGAGTGAGATAGACACGAATACAGCCAGCAACACAGCACGGAAGTGCTGAGGCTGAGGAGTGTACAAGGCACCACGGGGCTGGACAAAGTGCATTATGGGAAGGCCAGCTGAGGTTTGAAGGATAATAAACAGTCGTATGGAAATCATCTTATAGCAAGCCCATGAAGCAGGTACCATAATCTCCTCCATTTGGGGAAGCCGAGGCTCAGCAACTGGTCCAAAGCCGCACAGCTTGTAAGAGACAGAGACAAGATTCAAACAGACCCACAAACAACTAAAGCCAAGGTCTTTCCTGTTACAGTGATGTGGGGGGGTGGGAGGGAGCTGACCCTCTACTGCCCAGCCCACCTACCTGTAGCCCCAGGGAGACAGGCTCCTCTTGTTAGACAGCCACAACTGCAGATTGACCTCACACTTTCTCTTGGCCATCTCGGAGCTGTTTCTCAGCTGAGCCACCATCTCTCCAAGGTTCCTTTCGTACTCCTCCATGCGGGCATAGGGCTTCACCCGAGACACCAGGTCCAGCGGCAACTGGTGAGGCCCAGGGGCCAGGGTGCCAGGCCGCCCTTGCCCCTTCCTCTTGCCTTTGGGGTTCCTTGGCTGGCCCAGCCCCAAGAATATGGAGATGGCAAGAAGGAGCAGCTGAAGAGGAAGACCATTGGTCAAAGGCAGGAGAACCAAGTCTCTGTGGACCAAGGCTCAGAGTACAGAGAGGAGAGAGGGAAGACAGAAGAGGAAAGGGCCTCTGAGTGGGCTGCCTCCTCTGCCTCTGCCATGTCCTGGCCTGGTTCTGTGTAACGGACACTTACTGTACACCACACTCCATGATGGGCACCAGTGATGCCTCCCTCTCCCTCCCCTCTATGCAACTCACCTTTAAGTCCTAAAGATATGGCTCCTCCTGAAAATCTGCCCCCCCACCCACTTGCTCCATCTGCAGCACCATCACTGCTTCTCGGACAGCAGTACAGCCTCCTGACTGGTCTCCCCAAACCACCTCTGGCTCTTCCAATTGATTCTCCACACCAAGGCCAAGGACAGTCTTTTGAAATGAAAATTCGGTAATGTCCCCTTCTGAGTTAACACCCTCACCATTGCCCAGTGGGTCTCCCAGGCCCCTGTCTGTTTCCTCTGGTGCTTGTGCTCCAGCTTCTGGCCTCCTCTCAGTCTTTGTTCTCACCTGCTCATCCCTGCCACAGGGACTTTGCGCAGGCCTCTACCTGCAGAGTTCTGCCTTTTCCCCTCACCTTCTGAACAACTTCCCGTCCCCACATGTGGGCTCAAGTGCCTCTGGGGCTCTCATAACCCACCAGCCACTTGCCTGACTGCAATCTCACATTTGTACGTGTGCTTCCTTTATGTCTGTCTCCCACTAGGCATGGACTCCGTGAGAGCATTGTGTCCCTTTCCACCCACTGTCTGCCCCCGTGTGGTGCCGGGCACTTAGGCATTCAGAGAGCACTTTGAGTGAATGGATGACACCACCATCTACATCCTGACCCTCAGTCCTGCTGCCAGCAGTAGCAATAGTGCAGGGGTGACTGGAGAACAGGACTTCTGCTTAGCCTGGCCCAGGGCAACAGCCAGGTCAAGCTTTTTCTGCGAAGGGGACATGTCAGGTGAGGCTTGCAGGATAAGGAGAGACAGACATGAGCAGAGGGACTCTAAAGTTTTCCAGGCAGGGTGAAGAGGGAGATAGGTTTGACTGTTTATGAGCTTTGCCCAGAGGAAATGGTAAGGTTGAAATAGAGTTGGGTGTGAGGAAGGGACATGAGGTGAGTGTGGGGATGGACAAGTCCTGGCTGAGGACTCCCTGGAGGACTCCATCCCCAGGACACACCTACTGCCCTTCTCTGCCTGCCCCACACCACTGATAGCCATCCACCCCCTGCCACCCTCTTCTCCCTCCCCAGGAGCAACCTGCCAGCCCCTGGCTCACGTGGAAGAACAAGAAAAGGAAGAAAGGGAGAGAGGGGTCACGGATACCTGGGTGGCGGCAGAGCTGCCAGAACAGACTACTTTCTACGTGTCTTTTATCTCTTTGCTGAATCTCTCTATGCCTTCCTGGCATCCCTCACCCCACAGTGCACTGAGCCTGGGTCTGATTTATCCAGGCAACCCAGCAAGTCTTGGCTCTTGAAAAACAAGTTCCAGCAGAGCCTCTCTTCGCAGAGCCACTTCCTGGCACGAAATCTATCCCAGAGATTCAAGTTGCTAAACGCTTCCTTTTGGTGGCAGAAAAAAAAAGTCTCCCCAACAATAGGCTCTCTCAGCTGAGCTCCTCACATGGCATTCCTGAACTCTGGCTGTACTGGAGAAGCACAGAGACTCACAGTCCCCTTCCCTCACTTTCCAGATGGGACACGGAGACAGAAGGACTTGTCCAAGGTCACTCAGCCTGCTGGATCCCAGGAACCAGGCCTGGAAAAACCTGACCTGAGTCTGCCAGGAGCTCCTCGATGGCTGGGCCTGAAAGAGCTCAGTGTGGATGGGCCGAACCCCTGATCCGGAGCCCGAGCTCCTGGCCATGGCTGCAGGCTCTGAGACCCGTCTCTGTTTCTCTCCAGTCCTGGAGGAGAGGACAGAGGGGAACTGGCCTCTGCAGATTCCAAGCCAAACAGAGGCAGCCATTAATCAGGAGGAAAGAAAAGCTAAAGCCCTCGGCCCAAGGAGGTGGGGGCAGGGTGGGGACACGCCACGTACCAGGCTGTGCGGCCAGTCCATCCCGCCAAGCCAGCGGTCGCCCCGCAGCTGCCGCCTGCCTGGAACCCCAGATGCCGCCGTGGAGAGAATGGCAGCAACAGGATGGAGCGAGGCAATTATAGCTCGACAGGGGGCTGCTGGGGGCGTGGGTGGGTGGGCTCGTCATCAGCTGGGAGCCTTGGGCCCCCAGCTGGCTGAGCCCAGCGCAGTGGCAGGCGGTGAGGGGTGTGGGGGCAGGCCAGGAGCAGGACTGAGGTGCCCAGGGGCTGTTGACCAAGGGACAATGCCCTGTGTGTCTGGCGGGGGCCCTGGCCGGTGGCACCTCCGCCTGTGGCCTGCGGCCGGCCTCTGGGCCAGCACCCACAGGGCAGGCGAAGACAATCAGCTTCGTTTGCTTTGCAGATGGCAAGGGGTGAGGGTGGAGGAGGGGTGGGCTGTCGGTTGGTCAGGTCAGGAGAGCCAATGTTCTCGGAGTGTGTTGGCCAAGAGAAGGACACAGGCCCTATCTCTCTGGGAAACCACCTCAGGCATGCCAGCCTCTGCCTGCCTCGGAACTCAATGGCCCACTCCTCTAGCTCACAGGCAGGGAAACTGAGGCCCAGTATTGCACAGAGTTAGAGGTGTCAGAATTGGGGCCTGGGCCTGGTTCCCATCCAGAATTCTATGCACGCCCCCACGCTGTTTGTCCTGGGGTATTTTCTGCACAACTCCAGCCTGCTGCGAACATGTTTCTGAATCTGTGTACTTCACATAGGCCCCACTGCAGATCTGCGAGGATCTCACAGCCATTTGTTCTGGCCCTGAAGCACCTGTGCCCCTCTTGTATGGAAAGTCTCCACTCCTGGGGCCAGCCCCTTGTGTGGTTTGTGACCTTCTGTCTGTCTCAGCATCAGTTCCCTTTGTAAATGGAAGTTGTATCCAGGAATAGACAGTGGCCTAGCACATTCCTCCCTGAATCTCTCTGAGCCTCAGTCCCCACATCACTAGAATGGGAATAATCATAGCATCCATCTCTTAAGGCTGCTAGAAGGATAAAGGAGATAACCCATGTGAAATAGCTGGCACATGCCTTGCATATAGTAAGTGCTCAATAAACACTTGGCCATTCATTATACAAATTATTTTTTCTAAAATGATTTTGTAACAGTAAACATAAGCTAGCCTCATCAGCATAAGCACTAGCATGGCTGTCGTTACTCAGCCATCCCCTCCTTTGAATACCTCAGGCCCCTCTTGGCTGAGAGGCAGTATGACCTTCCCAGATGCAGGCCACAGCTTCCTAAGCTCAGCTGACCCCAGGGTCCACAGGGACTGAACTCACAAGATAAACTGACCAGCCCCTGTGGCCAAGGCTTCTCACCTTGGGTGAACAGCCCAGCCAGAGAGGATCGGCAGCAAATCCTCTGAGGGAAGCAGGAATGGGGGTGAGAGGAGGACGGAAGGGCCCCTGTGAGCATACAGCCTGCTGTGCCCTGTCTAACTGAGGGTCATTCTTGGCCATTTACAGGAATTGGCGAGGGTAGGAAGGCAGGGCGAGAGGCGCTCCTGAATGTCACAAGATTAATCTGTGTGGGGCAGGTTTCCACAGCATAACTGAGGAGCTGGCTGGGGCTCGAGCTCTGAGAGATACCACCATATTTGGTCAAATACTACACAGGGCTCTGTTCTGTCCTTGGAAACTCCAGAGGGAGGGGGACTCTGAAAATACCTCCTCGGGCAATAAGGGCCCCCACCCCCAGCCCCCCTGTCCCAGCCCCTCCGCCACTGTCATTGAACAAATGAAAGGGAGTGAATGGAGGCAGCTGGTTGGGTTCTGTGCCGGCTCTTTGCCTCCCTCTGTTGCTGCTGTGGGACCCCACAGACATGCAGCTGGGGCATCCCTCCCCATAGCCACAGAAAGATGGGGAGATTGAAAGATGAGTACTGGGGCACAGAGGACCCCTGAAGCCACCAGTCTCCTTACTGCTCGCATGCACAGCCTCCCAGCCGCAGTGTCTGCTAACAGAGGTACCAGGCCCCCAGCCCCAGAGATCCTGATCTAGGAGTCCTGGGAATGTGCATTTTAACACAAGCCCAGTGTGGAAGCTATGGGAGTCCTCACCCCTCACCTAGCCTGTCCCCCACCCACTGTACTTCCAGGAAACTAAAACTCAGGTAAGGAGTGGCCTTCCAACATGTTTGTGGTGGAGCTGGGAGCAGAACCGACTTCCTGATTCTATTCACTGCTCTTCCTTTAAAGTATGTACCAGCAGCTCCAGGCTAGGCTGGGACTCCTTGCCGGTCTGGTGGGGACTCAGGAGCTACGCTAGTCCTTCTGGGGCCACAGAGACCTCACAACAGGAGCCTGGGAGGTCCTAGGATGTGATCAGTGGCCATCAGTAGACTTCCCATCCCTGGGCCATCTCAGGCCAGGAAGGAGACCCTTCCTCCTGCCTTGGCTTTCAGAAACCACTAAAGGGTAGTCTTCCCATAGTGGTGTCCTGAGTGTAAAGCAGGCAGTCGTGGGACCCCAGAAGTAGTGCCAGTGCTGAGGGAGATGTAGCAAACAGGGCTTCAGGGGCTCCACCCATAAACAAGGCTGGGGTTCTTGAGTCTTTGCCCACAAGAGGCCGTGGTTATGTGTGAAAGAGGGCACAGTGGATGGATGGGTAGACAGCGGGTGGACAGTGAGGGGTGGCAGTGGTGCTCAGAAGCCTCAGCTGCAGCCCCACCAGAAGCAGTGCCTCACTCAAGCACCACCAGGTGGCGCCAGCAGAAAGGCAGACAGACCAGGAGAGCAGGGAACCTTGGTGACCCCCAGCATCAGCCATTTCTTCAGCCTGGGTTGGGCACTGAGGCTGAACATGAGGGGTCCAGCAAGGCGCACAGTGGGCTTCCTGAGCAAGTCTGATTCTGCCAAGGACCTGATGCTCACCCAGACCCCTTCCATGTCAGGCAGGAATGGTATGGCCACCAGGGTGGGGCTGAGGGCTTCTGTCTGCTAAGCTATGGGAAATAAATAGCAACTAGTAATAATAATAGCTGCTGCTTAATAGTCATCTCCCAACTGCCGGGGACTGCGCCAACTCCTTAGTGTGTGTGGGCTCATGAAATCCTCTCGACCCCTGCACTGGAGTTCTAGTTTATCCCCTAAATTTGTGATCAGGGAAACTGAGGCTCACAGAGCTTACTTCACCATTTGCCCAAAGTCAAAGAAGATTCACAGCAAGTTTGTTTGCTGTCCACTGCGGTGGGGCAAGGAGCAGGCACTTTGAAAGAAGAGGCATGAGACTGGCCGGCTGGTTAGCTGGTCATCAAGCAGGGGCTGTGATGCCAAAGTCTCCCCTGACATCCTCAAGCAACCCGGACCTTTGCAAGGTCAGGAGCTCATGACCCAAGGCCAAACTAAAGTCCTTGGGGGATCTGAGAGCTCCAGGGCGTGAACAGTACCATTTCTGGCACATGGAATGCACTCACTAAATATTTGGTACATTTATCAAACCAGCTGTAATCCAAGATGGCAATGCTAAAATGGAGAGCGGGAGGCCACAGCAGTGGGGACCCAGAGAAGCAGGTGCAACCTTAGGGGTAAGATCAGACTCTAGGGTTGACAAACTTTATCTGTGTGACCTGGGAACATTACTTGACTTCTCTGAGTCTTCATTTCTTCTGCACAGTGGAGCTAATAACAACTTGGTTCTCAATGTATTTATGTGAGGATCAAATGAGACAATTCATGTTAAAATGCTTAACACAGTGCCTGGGATATAAAAAGTGTTCAATTAATGGCAACTGAGATTGTCATTGCTTTTGTTTTTTGTTTGTTTGTTCTGTGGTACTGGAGTTTGAACTCAGAGCCTACACCTTGGACCACTCCACCAGCCCTTTTTTGTGTTGGGTGTTTTCAAGATAGGGTCTCACGAACTATTTGCCCAGATCAGAGATCCTTCTGACCTCTGCCTCCTGAGTAGCTAGGATTACAGGCGTGAGCAACCTGCACCTGGCTTGTCTTTGCTATTGTTAAAATAAGTTTTGAGTTGGGCCTTTGAGGATGCTTCCGGAGTGTTCCCAGGCAGGAAAAGGTGGGGAGGAGGCTAGAACCAGTAGAAGAATGCAGAGACCACTATTCAGTGGGCCCACTTTGGAGCCTCGAGTAAGCCAGGAAGACCTGAGGGATTTTTCTAAACCCTGCCCAAGTGGACCCAGTAAGGTCAGGGAGGCAGAAGGAGGCTAACAGGCGCCTTGCTGGCTGTGGCCCAGAGGGAGCATCCCCCAGGAGGTCCTGGCTCCTCCGCCATGCTGCCCACCCCACCCTCCTTCCTGGGATGGAGTCCTTCTCCCAGGCCCATATTTGCACAAATGCCTGCCTCGCTGCTCACTCCAGAGCCCCAGCCAAGAGGGGCTATTTTAAGCTCCCTGGACGGGAACACTGTTGGGAACATCCCCAGCCAGCAAGCTCCCAGTTCTCAAAAAAGGGAAAGTCCTGGTGAATGGGCGGTCCCTCAGACATGCCAGCTGGGGGGAGGAGGGGTCACATCAGCACGACCCTCAGCACCAATGCCCACACAGGGACATCAAAGAAGTGCACGTTGGGGCAGGGATTTCAGGTTCCAAGACGCCCTCCTTCTAGTTTCAAGTTTACGCTTCTGGGCTGCAGATTGACTCCACACTGTAGCTAGGTGTCTTATTAGCACTCGCCACCCATGGACCATCAAGAGGTAGGGTACACAGTGTCATTCCAGTACTAATGTAGGAACCTCCTAAAGTGTCTTTGCTGGTGACCTCCATCCCACCCAGGGATGGACTTTGCTCCCTGGGGATGGACTTTGTACGTAATGGCACTTCAGCTTTGGCCAGTTAGGCCACCATTGTTGTCATCTGGCTTGTGTGCCTGTGTTTGTCGTGTGGTGTTCTTGTGGGTATGTGAGCTATTTTTTTTTTTTAATTTTTGATTTTCATGAAGAGCCAGTTTAGACTAATATTTAAAGCACAAACTTTGAACCAGAGTGACCTGGACCCCAGCCTGACTACGCAACAGCTGGGTCACCTTGGGCAGGTAAGCTAACCTGAGCCTGGCTCTCGAGG